GGCAAAAGTCTTCAGAGTGAAAGGTTTGCAGTTTTGGTAGTTCTCGTTGAGTGACCGTGTCTTGGCTTCGACTTTTGGTCGTCCCCAAACCTCGCTAGACAGCTCCAAGTACCCCTAAACACTGCACTGTATCTACTACTGTACGACTGTCGTACTACAGTACTACTATTGTACTACTCTACCCTGTTGTACTACTACTGTACCGTACCAGGCCTCAGACATAGTCGATTGTGAAAGGGAGTGTAGGTTGGAGGCACAAGTCTTCAAAATGAAAGGTTTTCAGTGTTGGTAGTATCTTGGAGTGATCGGGGCTTTTGGTTTCCAGCCTTTGGTGATCCCCCCAAACCGTTAAACAGCTCCAAGTACACTTAAAAACCTCGTACCGTGTTACTACTGTACTACTACTGCATTACTACTGTACCATTACATGCATTACTACTGGACGATTACATGTACTCACCTGTGCATCATCGAGCTTCTTCTTGTATCTCTGCTACCTGTGATGTGGCGGCCGTTTAATAGCCACCCCCCCTCGACCAAAGGTTCTTGGTTTGAATAGTCTGGTGTCCGTGACCCCCTGGACCGGGGTTCGGCTGGCTGAGGGTCTGAATGGCTTTGGGTAAGTTAGAAGGGAAATGGGGGGTCGCATGGTCGGTTTGAAACCTGCGCGAACGCCGCAATCGGGGGGCTTGGGGATCACCAAAAACTTGAAAACAAGCCCCGATAACACTGCAAACCTTTCATGTTGAAGACTTTTGCCTCCAACCTAACCACCCCCACGATCGACCAAGTTTGAGGCCTGGTACGGTACAGTGGCGTGTAGTACAGAGTACAGTAGTACAGTAGCATAGTAGTACATTGGTGCAATGGTAGTACAGTAGTAGCACAGTACAAGCACAGTAGTGTGTTTCATCGACTCAAGCAGGGAGCGCCCCTGTAAACTTTGCTTTGTGTGGGTGCTTTGACTTTGCTCTTTAAAGGTTTTGCTGTTTGCTGTCATATCTGGTATCTATATGTGCTTATAGGGTCATGGCTTTGAGTTTGGCGCGGGGGCGAGGCTGGCCTGGGAGGTGGGCTGATAAGGCGCAAGGGCGAGGGCTGGGGACCGGGCTCGGGACTTCATAATTTTTGAAGACGAATTAAGATTTAATGAGATTTATAGTTAGATGTAGCAATATTTTATTTGGGTTGTTTTCCTTTCTAACACTGACAAGATTTTATGTAATCTCCTTGCAAAGGGAATCTCGATCTATCTATCCAAGAAATATGCTTCCACGGGGGGTTCAAGGGGGGGTATCCCCCCCTTTCCCCCGGTGGCGAATATTTGAGATTTTCCAAGGAAAAAGTTATAAATTCGCAACAAGCCAAAACCACAAAGTTTGGATCAACAGGGCTGAGCAATAAGATTCAATAAGATTTTTTCGGGGTAGGCCACAATTGTACAAATGTCTTCTAAGATTCAATAAGATTCAATAAGATTCAATAAGATTCAATAAGATTCAATAAGATTCAATAAGATTTAATAAGATTTTTTCGGGGTAGGCCACAATTGTACAAATGTCTTCTAAGATTCAATAAGATTCAATAAGATTTTTTGGGGCGATCTGGAGTCGTGTCCCTTTTAAAAATGATGGACCAATAAGATTCAATAAGATTCAATAAGATTTAATAAGATTCAATAAGATTCAATAAGATTCAATAAGATTCAATAAGATTTAATAAGATTTAATAAGATTTAATAAGATTTTTCCGGGGCGTGCCACAAGTGCCACAAATGTCTTCTAAGATTTTGCCGGGCCGATCTTCCGGAAAAGGCTTCATGATAAAATGCTGCTGGGGCTGGGGCTGCTGGGCCTGCTGGGCCTGTTGGGCCTGTTGGGCCTGTTGGGCCTGTTGGGGCGGTTCGGGCTGGGTGAAGGCAGGGAGAAAAGGGGTTGGGGGAGGGTGTAGTGAAGGGCCCCCGCCAGTCCCCCAGCCCACGCTCAGCCTTCCCTGCGAGCCGCGACCGAGCAGAAAGCCTGTAAATACCGCGTTAAAACAACGGCCAGGGATCCCACACATCTGCGGGCAAAATCTGGCGGAAGTGATCCGCCACCGAGCAAAAAGCCTGTAAATACCGCATTAAACAAAGGGCCAGGGATTTCACACATCTGTTGGCAAAATCACTTCCGCGTGATTTTGCCAACAGATGTGTGAAATCCCTGGCCCTTTGTTTAATGCGGTATTTACAGGCTTTTTGCTCGGTGGCGGATCACTTCCGCCAGATTTTGCCCGCAGATGTGTGGGATCCCTGACCGTTTTTTAACGCGGTATTTACAGGCTTTCTGCTCGGTGGCGGCTCACTTCCGCCAGATTTTGCCAACAGATGCGGTGGTGGGCTGGGGTTGGGGGCTGGGGCCCGCAAGGGGTGTCCGATTAGGTTTTGAAGAATCGCGGATCCCAAAATCACGGATCGCAAAGAGTGTCTCCCTGCAGGTTGTATTAAAAAATAGGTTCCCAAATCATGAACCGCAAGGGCTCCCCCTACGGCTGTCCAAAAACTCGCAGCTCGCAAGGGGTGTCCGGTGCCTGTCCCCAAACCAAAATCATCAAATCGCAATGGGTGTCCCCCGAAAGTAGGGGGTGGGTCGGGTGGGGGGGGGTCGGCTGGGGTGGGGGTGGGCTGGCTGGGCTGACGATGCGGCATCTTGGAATTGGGCTGGGCTGGGGGCGGATGGCCGGTCCCCGGCTCAATCACCCCAGTGTGGATTGCTTTTCCCTTTTCCTAAATTTGGGCTCTCCTTTTTTGAAAAAAACATTACCGAAACAAACTTGACCAGACTGAGCCAGGTTTTCTATATCTTGTTTTGCTTCCAAGCAGGAGGCGACGTTGTGATTCGCTTTTTTGTGAAGAAGTTTTGAGCCAAGACACACAACAACAGACTTGCACAAAACAGTCACCAAGCAAACACAAACAAGTAGCAACATGCCAAACGCATGCGAATACTGAAATTGACTAATAGCATCACACCACTAATACAGGTTAATGTGGGGGTCCTTCTGGTCCGGTGTGCCTAGTTGATGCGTGTTTCCCGTGCTTATTCGGGCTGTATCAAAAAAATGGTGGCCTAATTAATGATTAGTGCGTTCTTTGTTGGGCCGACTGATTTTATGTATTTCTCTTCTACGACTGTCCTACTACTGTACTATTGCAATACTAATGCACTGCTGTACAGGAGTGTAGGCCGGACGAAAAAGTTCTCAACATAAAAGGTTTTAGTGTTGGTATCTTGGAGTGATCGTGGTTTGGACTTTGGTCGTGCCCACACCCTGCTAAACAGCTCCAGGTACTCCCACACCCTTGTAATGTACCCCTACTGTACTACCACTTTACTACTACCCTCTTACTACTGTACTTCTGTATTGCTATTGCACTGCTACTGTACTACTAAATATGGTACTACTCTTGTACTACTGCATTACTACTGTGCTATTACTTGTACTACTACTGTACGACACACCACTGCACCGCTCGAATCCATGTGGGGAAGGTCGGCATTTCAAGGAAACCCTAAACCCTTAGACTCGATCACAACCCCCAACTTAAATTGATAAACTACTTTAAAAACAAATACAAACAAATTTGTAGACGTAGAACAGCAGGAAGCCAGGTTGAACAGCAGGATGCCATTTATCATTTGACTCAATCACAACCAAAAATATTTATATTGATGAAATAAGCACTTCAAAAACAAATAAAAAATTGTAGACGTACAGCTGCAGGAAACCAGGTAGAACAACAGGAAGCCATTTGACTCAATCAGAAACAAAAACTCATAATTCACAAACATGTATTTTTTTACACCAAAAATAAAATTAAAAAAATTTAACAACTGTAAAACACAAAAAACATATTTAAAAAACTTTTAAATACAAAACACCACTTTTAAATGCAAGAAAACACTTTTAAACACAAATAAAGCCAACCACATACAAAAATAAGATTTTGGGTTCCTTTCATATAAGCCTTGTTGATCTAAACCCTGTGGTTCTGGTTCGGCGCAAAGGGTTAAGGATATAGGGGCTTTTTTATAACTAGAACAGGGTTTTGGAGTACACGATACTGTACTTCTAAAAAAAGGACCCCCCAAAATAGTATAGGTAATCACTAAGGCCTCTATTGCAAACCCTATAAACCCCAAACAGGTTTCTTCCGATCGCTCCGAGTCTCCAGTTTCACAAAAAGTGCATTCCACCGATGCAAACTCCGAGCCTTAGCGCTGCAAGCTCCCCAGGCACATAAAGGGCTCAGGGCTTAGGGCTTAGGGTTTAGGGTGTAGGGTTTAGGGCTCAGGATATAAGATCACCGAATACAGGGAGCCGTGAAGTTTTACGAGGGTTTGCGGTGCTTGCGTAGAGTCGAATATCAGCGCCTGGATTTTTGGAATAGGGTTTGGTGGTACATTCGTGTATAGCATTGTATATAACTCTTCGTGGGAATAAGGGGGTATTAGTACTCAATATATTCCTCCGACTTCGATAGTATGTTGCAACTGGCATCACATGGGCCTACTGCACGCTTCGTTTTGCCGCATGTCGATCGAAATGGACGGCACGGGTGAAGCCTAATCAGCTTCGATTTAAAAGCCACTCTCGCACCAAGCAGATCCGTTTTGGACGAGCACGGTGAAGGTGGGCGGCTTGTGACCAGGAATGCCGGCTCCAGCACAAACTCGACTGTTGCTGTTCAGCCTAGTTCTGCATCCATCATAATGATTAATGCAAAATCCCATGCTGATCCTTGCCCCCGTTCATCATCTGTCACCGTAAATCCGCAAATCCTGTGCCTGACATGGTACCCCTGGCATAAAAATCAATCCTCTTAGCCCGCAAGGCTGCCGGAAGCTTTGTCCAGTAATTTACTGCCGCTCCCGCTTTGGGATCGACTGCATCTACTTGTAAGGCGGCATGGTTGCTACCATGTATATTATATCCGCAGTATTGTCGTATTTATGCATAACCTAGACATCAGCAGGCACATCACACTGGCCGTCGCTGTTGCTGCCGCAGGCAAGCACCCGACCATCGCCTCAAAATGTGATCAAGGCTATCCGCTCATTATTGCGCCTCGGAATGCAGAACAACCCTGACCTCCGCTATGCTACACACTGATCACTGACCCCACGCTGATCCCCAAACTCGTTACCTGTTGACCGGAAAACCGGCCAAAACCCAATAGTATCAAGTAGTGCTAAGAGTTAGTATGTATGCCATAGTACAGTATACTGTTCTCTACAGTACATGATAGTACATAAAAACGTCTGCTGCAGTCCACATTATAGTATAGTGGCGTATAGTATATCGGATGGCGTACTTCTTTGGTACTCGCACTCGACATATGGAATACGTAGTATGTTGTAGCACTCCCCAGGTCAGTCAACAATGATCTTGGGGTCCTCCATTCGTACCGTTCATACTGCCACCTGATCTGGCAAAACCTCCACGTGGACTTGACTCCTCCTACGGGTACACAAATCGAGTTCTGCAGCCGCAGCTATAACGGAAGCACAACGCAACAACCCAAATGTAAGAAAGCATTCTACTACCGCACTGATGCTACACCCCCAGCATTGCCACCACGACCAGTGCTGATGCCAATGCCACTACGACCACGGTCATGAGGATGATGATGACCGTCTGCTCCCTGACCCGTGCCTTCATTATGACCAGCAGCAAGACCAGCGCCGTCATCACCCACCCCGTCACCATTACCAGAATCAGATGCAGCATCGCAACATTTTTTCTAAACCATGCTCGTCGTCACCAACAAGACGAACGACCATCGTCGTCGTCGTCAGCGCTTGACATCGTCGTCACACTCCCTTCGGCCGGGCCACTTCGCAAAAGCCTTAGCTCAATGTCGGACATGTGGCCCTAGCTCACCCAACCCGACTCACCACTCCTTCCAAGGTTGGTGACCCAGACCCAGAGGCGATCCGATCAAAGGGAAATTTACACCACTAGTTGACTACTTGGGCCTGGGACCTGAATTAGTGATGGCGCCCGAAGATGAACAGCCCAAGCGAGTGCTGCACCGGTATACCAGCCAAAAGGCAGCGTGTGAGTGCTGCCAGCAGCTGCCGCCATGTAGCCTGGGTTGCTTACAATCAACAAAACTAGACTCGTCTGTGTCCCTTCGCTGACACGACCGGCACGGCTCAGAAAACTGCCTGCTGAACACCAGGCGGCGCATACCCAATGGCAGTGGAGGTATCTGACACTGGCCACCTCTGCGCTTCTTTGGGATGGTGGACTTACGAAGTTCACGTCCGTGCCAGCGCGGGGGGTACTGTTGATGACCGCAGTGCTTCTTCAAAACTCTGGCCAAGCACAGGCTGAAGGACCTGAAGGACTAGGAACCAGGTTTATGAGAGTCATGAGTCTAGATGGTGGTGTTTGTAGGAGCTCCAGCCCCGAAGCCAGAAGCAGCAGCGAAGACACAGACTTTCAGAGACTGGGACCTGGGACCTATCCTTCCTCCCTGCAGAAGCGACCGATCAAATCCACTCAGCTGCCGCTGAGAGGCAGCTGTTGTCTCCAGTGGCCACCGCCTCCCCGTCGTTGCGGATAAGCACCTCTGCAAAAGCCCCGGCCTCTGAGAAAGTTACCGACGCCCTGAACTGATTCCAAAGTCTCGAAAGCAAGATTCCTACTACGGGGGCCTCAATAACCAGAACAGCCAAGTATACTATATTATAATCAGGAACCCCCAAAGAACTGTATGGGTCATCATTTAGGCACCTATACTAAACCCTCACAGTAGCCCTTATAGACCCCCTTAGGAACCCTATACTAACCCTTTCAAGGCACCTATAGTACAACCCAGTGCCCCGATGCTACAGGCATAGGGCCTTCTGGCACAGTGTGCTTGGGTGTCGCATGGTTGCAATGGATACCTGATAAGGCTCCATGGTAGTGCCTTTGGGGGCTCGTAAATTTAGAATCCTATAAGATAATCCCAAAACGGAACTACTATGCAGCCTCAGGATAAGATGCCTTTATGCATGCTGCTATGTCTCTTGCATCCTCACGTGAAGTATCAGGACGGAGGGGGGAGGGAGACAAAGAGGAGCGAGAGCGAGAGAGAGAGAGAGAGAGAGAGAGAGAGCAAGCTGGAGAGCGAGACACGCTGCTGCCAGAAACCACTGCTCATGACGGAGGATGCCCCACCACACATCCCCACTAATTAGAAGTAACCATGAACCTTTCAGAATCCCTCAAACGTTGCAGCACAGCGCCGTATGACGGTCCCCGGCGCTGACAGAGGTGTATCGGGCATGGTGGGGCCTCGTGGCAGAATCACATCTTTACAATTTGAGACTCAGGATGAGGCCCCAATGTAGGGCCCATGGGCTGCAGGAATAGTGGCTACACCGAAAAGACAGTTGCTTTGTGAGAGCAGTTTCATCGCTTCCCATCCTTCGTCGGTCTTAGTGTCACGTCGTTCCCGAACTGCAACTTCGCGCCAACACGCCGGAAGGTGGCAGTGATGAGCATTGAAAATAGTTACATTGACAACCGACCACTGCAGTTCACGACGATGGACGCGTATATCGACGCTGCAGGTTATCGCGGAAGAAATTAGTATAGGCACTGTAATGATCACGACCACTGCAGCTCACGACGATGCGTATATCGACACTGCAGGTTATCGTGGTAGAGCTCAGTATAGGCACAGTATGCACAGTGACAATCAAGAGGTGAAGAACCCATCCTCAGCACTTCAGTTTTTTTGCAAGAAGTTGCAGTACACCAAGCCTACACAGCCTTGCAAATTCGCAGGTTGTTGTACCCTTTGGTCTACCCTTCGGGCTCGATCCACCAGCTCGGTCGGATCCTCAGATAGTTGCTGCATTGGTTGGCCGCACCACAGCCACCTGCCCTGCTCCCCCCGACGGCGCCTCTACAGCGGGTCTTGTGTTCGCCGCTCAGATTAGCCAACCCCACACACAAAACCGCAAAACCCAAGACCCTAAAACACGTCAGTGACCCAAACTCAGCCTAGCAGCAGTGGCGGCACACTGCACTGACCAAAGGCATTCCATCCCAAGGCAGCCTTTGCAGGAGTCAGCTCGACAGATATCTGGGGATGATTAACCCTAACGAGCTTCGGGAAAAGAGGACACCGCACCAACGATGCACCTGCAAACAGTCACGCCATAACCATCGGACATGTCTAATGTACTCTCGACTGCATTAATCCCTGCAGCCCATCCCGCGTCAACTCTAAGTCTAATACCTGGTTTGAGTTCCTCCCGCACAGCGAAGTTTTGCTATGAACATTATGAACATACAGGCTATCATACAGCCATGGACAATGCCGACTGACTCCCTTTTGCAAGCAAAGGCTCTGCTTCACCGTCGTTACGCAGGAGGACGGTGTGCTTGCCCCCTCCAGCAGCGGACGTGTAACGGAGCCAGCTCACGCGCTTGCCTGGCGCAGGAACCTGGGAAATTCCTGGGATGCTACACTGCCCACTGTCATCCAGGCCGACAGCAACGGCATTGCCATCCTCCAAGATGCAAATGGTGTGCTGGGCACCAGCAGCAATTGAAATGCAGCGGCGTCCCGACAAGCGAGAAGCCACTTGACATTGGCCGTGATCATTGCAGCCGACAGCTTCACAGGAACCATCTGAGTCCAAGAGCACGCTGTGAAAGCCTCCAGCAGCGACTGAGATTATGACGCGGCCTTCCAGCCCTGTGAGGCTTCTCTGGCCATCAAGGTTCAACCCACAGGACCCAACACGGCCATCACTCCGCAGCAGCAGTGTGTGCTGGGCGCCTGCCGCAACTGCAATGTAACGAATACCGGCTGGCAAACGTGGAAGCAGAGACTCCCCTGCGGCGTTGAGTCCGAAGGCCACCGCGCCACCACTCCTGGCGGCTTGTCTTGGAGATTGCGATTGTGATCCCCAGCTTTCCGAAAGGCCACAGCATGCCGGCACTAGAATGGAGTGTCGAACATACAACTGATCATGTCGAAACGCTCGAGAACCCGAGACTGAGGCTAAGACGGGAAAAATTGCCCTCCTCAAGGCCCGGAAGCAAACAGAAGCAGCCATACACTTCCATTGGACTACCAAGCTAGCTCCCCAGGTTACCGCGGAGCGGGCTGCCCATCCTCCGGAGCAAGACTGAATGATACCGTCCTGCGGCCACTCGCCTGGCGCAAGCTCTTCCAAGTCCGCAACAGGCTTAAACTGAAACTCCCCGGCCGATTGAAAGGCTTGCCTCCCGGCATACCATCCCGGAACATTTAAAACCTGGCATGTGTAGAAGCTATTCAGCTATTCTGAAAGCAAGCGACTGCGTATTTCGATGTATGTAAATGAACTAGGGGTCTGAGCAGGATCAGAAGCTTGAAGGTATTCACATAAGCATGAATGCATGCTGCATAATACATACATGGCATTTCTGTTGGGGGTTTGTGAGGGGGGGTGGTGTGTGTGGGGATGGGGTATTGGTGGTTGTTGGATGGTTGGTTGGGTGGTTGGGTGGTTGGGTGGTGACAACTTGAAACACTTGTTTCCGAAATTGACAAGACGGATCTGACGAACTCAAAGACCTGTTTTGGAGATGGGCAGGAGGGATCTGAATAGATCTGAGAAACTGAAACCCCTCACAAGGTGCTGTGTTTTTCCTGGGTTGTGCTTTATAGGGGAACAATTATCCGACTGTTAGTGGGCAGGGGCACCACCCAATAAAGGAGCCTTACACTGGTGCATCCTTGTTCATGTCCCTATAGAACTGTACCAAGCAGAGCTGTGCACATGTCCGAACGCATGTGCATATACCAAAAATCAGACACGCAATCAACTTGTGCGGAAAATCCACCCTATGCCTTGAACCCTCAACCCTATCCTGCCGGGAGCGCCTTGTAAAGAAGACAGCCTCAGACGCTTCCACCAGAGCCTCGGATAGGGTCGGCGCTTTTTGAGGATAACTCGCGAAACGATATTCTGCTCCCTGCAGAAAGCAGGCCATAAAAGTGTCATGTTCAACTGGTCTTGAACACTCTCTAATCAGAAACCGCAACATAAAAACACGAAGACATGCAAATTCGAAATTTCACAACCCCAGACTGCAAGCACTTATTGCAAACCCCAGGCCATTTCAACCCCGAGACGTCAAGCCGTCGACGGACTCAAACTGCGGCACCTTAACCCTAACCCGAAACACTCAATGGCACAGAACATGGACTCAAAAGTCAAACCCTTCAGCAGCGATGATCTGAAGACCAGACCCCAGCTGAAAGCGTTCCCATCAGAACCCTCATTGAAGGAGCGGGGACATCGAATTCTGGCATCTTCATAACACCTACCAGCACTAAAGTTCACAAAAGCATCCTCAACCCGACAGCCTAAAGCCCGAAACATACTAGCCCGCAAACCCGTACGCCTGAAACCTTGTGAAGCCCAGGTGCTTGTGGTAAGCCCGAGGCAGCTGCTAGTTCCGCGGAGTGGTGCCAGCCTCAGGTGAGTACGGCTTAAGTTGGCTTTCTAAGCTGCCTCTTCCTGGCACAGGTTTTGGGGTTGTGAGGGTTATGGATCAGGGCTTTAGAGATTTACGGTCTCACAAGAGCCACAGGGTCTTTATTGCTCACTTCCGGAAATCAAGTTTAGATATTTAGGTTTCTAGCTATATTTAAGAATAGAATAAAGTTTAGGGCTCTCCTGCCTTCGACACGGCTAGGTCTGTGCCTGCATCGTAGCGATGCCAGGAACCAAGGAACGTTTGCCTCTGTGCAGGGTTTGGGCGCTCGCCCACGGACATGCCAGGCGAGGCTGTTGGTGCTTCGGGTTTCACGTCTAGCGTTCCGTCCTACTTAGACACCAATAATAATGGCAAGAAGTCCCGCTTGGATCTGAGCTGCCATTTTCAGCCTGTTGAAGAAAAACTTGATTTACCGCTTCGAGATAATATACCAAAAACTTAGCTAAAAGGAATAAAGCAATGTGTGTGTGTGTGTGTGTGTGTGTGTGTGTGTGTGTGTGTGTGTGTGTGTGTGTGTGTGTGTGTGTGTGTGTGTGTGTGTGTGTGTGTGTGTGTGTGTGTGTGTGTGTGTGTGTGTGTGTGTGTGTGTGTGTGTGTGTGTGTGTGTGTGTGTGTGTGTGTGTGTGTGTGTGTGTGTGTGTGTGTGTGTGTGTGTGTGTGTGTGTGTGTGTGTGTGTGTGTGTGTGTGTGTGTGTGTGTGTGTGTGTGTGTGTGTGTGTGTGTGTGTGTGTGTGTGTGTGTGTGTGTGTGTGTGTGTGTGTGTGTGTGTGTGTGTGTGTGTGTGTGTGTGTGTGTGTGTGTGTGTGTGTGTGTGTGTGTGTGTGTGTGTGTGTGTGTGTGTGTGTGTGTGAATATACATATAGAGATAACCATATAAGTACATACTACCATATATATATATATACATAGTGGGCCAAGCGGCCTTCAAGGCTCCCTGACTGAAAGCTACGCACCAGCTTGGCAAAGGCTGAGACCTGGCGTCTGTGACGAGTAGGGTTTCGACGCTCACACTCGCACGCGGCAGGCAAGGCTCCACATAGTAGGGCACAGAGTTTAGGTAGGGGTTCGGTGAGGCATATGATTCGAGGTGGGTTTCGACTCGCACACTCGCACATCGAGGTGGGTTTAGGGTTTAGAGGTTTCAGGCCCCCGGCAGTCGAAATAGGCCTGGACTTTTGGGTTTAAGACTTCTCTGTGTCGTCAAAATTTAGGGTTCGGCTTTGCCCGAGTGTGAGTGATGTACGTGTTTAGGGTTTAGAACTTTAGGGTCTTGGGCGGATTCAACACTAACAGCTGGGCACCGGTAAGAAATTGAATAGGGTCACGGGACCTGTGGCTCTCCGTAAGCTCTCCAAGTTCTTGGAAGAAGGAAGACCAGCTACTATAGAGAGGTGGCTCGTGCAGGATTTTTTTGCTACAGTCTACAGTCTCTAGGTAGCAAGAACAGATGGCGAGTAACAGCAGCAGCAGTAGTAGTAGCAGCAGCATAGCAGCAGAGCAGCAGCAGCAGAGCAGCAGCTGTAGCGGTGGCGGTGGCGGTGGCGGTGGCGGTGGCGGTGGCGGTGGCGGTAGCGGTGGCGGTGGCGGTGGCGATAGCTGTTGCTGCTGCAGCTGCAGCTGCCGCAGCCGCAGCAGCAGTTGTTGTTGCAGCAGTAAATACAAAGTAAAGATGGCTGGAGACACTTGGTAAAGTACTGGGCCGTACCCGGAAGTCAGCGAAGCACTGGCAACCGAACAGCTCCGAGCCCCTGTCAACCCCGCCAACAAAGGAATGCCGTAACTGCCTTAGTCTCACAGCCAACCACATGCCCTTCAGGTCGGAAAAGGAGGTTGATATCGCCACAGACACGGCCTCCCGGTGTGCCCAGCCGGCCCTAGCCCTATCCATGAAAGAAATCTGCCAGGGAAGCCCGTGCCGCCAAAGCCTCTAGAGCCCCCTGCTCCCAGTCAGCAGGGAAGCCTGGGACTGCCACTACTAATACTACTACTAAGATTACTATGTATATTACTCTTAGTAGTACTCATATCAATACTAGTAGTAATACTCATATTCGTAATAGACTTCCGAACACAACAGGCGAAAGGTCAGGGGCCAGTTGCGAGACGACGGGAAACAACACGACATACAAAAAACTGAGTACCCAATAGGAACCAAGGAATCTGGAACTTCCAAACTCGTGCAAAGAGAAACGCCACAGAGACGAGAAACCTCTAGCCCGATCAGACCACCTTTCTCGCTCCTATAACTCAGCCGACACAGAAGACACTCTTTATGTGTTTCGACATTGCTGGGCTATCTGCAGAACCAGCTAACCATCTTTGTACCATTGCAGTCCTTTTTGATGCACTGGAGAGAGCCTGGCTAGTTTAGGGTCGCATGTGCATATGTACATTTGGGCATATAGAGAAGTAAAGAAGAATATTCAGTGCAGTTAAGTTCTAAAACAAATGTAAGTGTAGGGGTATGTATGTATGTCTATCTATCTAAGGTGTGCCGATCTCCGGGAAGGCAAGCAGGACGCCTGCCATTGTTTGCCAGAGAGCCTGCCAAATAATCCTGGAGAAGCTGCCCGGCTGCCTCCACCTGGTGTGGCTGTGAAGTGCACGGCGACTGCGATGCAACTCTATTACAACATGATTCGACAAAAAGACAAACCTACTAAGAATATGTGGAGACAGAAGAGAGCGAGATTGCCACATGTCTTGTCATCTTCCAGCAATGAGCCCTGCCAGCCCACATTCTGCAAAGTGGCATGTTTTGGGTTGCATGGCCTTAACGGATCAAAGCAGTATGCACAGGACCGCGGCAGGTGCTGTTGTTTGACCTAGAACCTACGCGGCACGACTGCGATCAGCAAGGCAACCGATTCTCTGCAGCTTTGCAATGGTCTCCTTACCCTACAAGCCCTAAACCCTCAACACCCCTAAACCCGAGATTCAAGAGTATCTGGTGCTTAGCCTGCCTTGTCTGTATTCGGTGGCCAACCGCCCGCTGCTCGGATGTAGGCTTCCCAGATATGGTCCTGGCACCGTCAAATCACCATCGTGCCCTCTACGAGAGATCTTAGAAATTCTTGGCTTCCCTTCTTACTGTCTTCTTACGATTTTGTATATCATCAGACACGATGCCAAAATTGTGAAAGAGAGTGGTTTTCAGCTGTTGGCATCTGCAGACCTGAGGTGGCTTTTGCAGAAGGCCTTTTGCAAATGTCCTTGGGATAGCGAAAGCTTAGGCATAAATCAGTCTACCGATCTACCGTCGCTACAACAACCGCCGTTGGACAAAGTCGGGATGCAACAGCTCACTGCGGGCGGCTCTCCAAAGCTCCACATCCCTTTCCCTCAGGCCCTAGCTGTTCAGGCACACATGGTGATTCTATGTCACTGGGGTGACCTAATTGCTCTCCATACTCATCTCGAACTCGTCTGCACGTCTTGGACTGTCTGAAAGCCCGTCGATGTATGGCCTGACAAGATGAAGCCGGGCGGGAAAGATGAGAGAGGCGCTGACGGCCCAAGGCAGTTGCTGCTTTAAGGACTTCGGGTGTGCAGAGTTTGATCAAACTCCTCCAGGAGCTTCGTGGGCAGCGCGGCTGCTTTCGCCACCTGCAAAGCAGCCTGGGCTGTACTCTCCGTTGGGCTTTTGCGACATTGCCCTTTCTGTCAGGAAACGGCACCGAGACGTCCCGAAGTCTGTCTTTGTTGTTCGCTAGGTCAGCTATGGTCAGATTGCGGAATAGCAGTATAAAGAAATGGTTGTGGTAGTAGCAGTAGGTGTAGCAGCAGCAGCAGCGGCAGCAGCAGTTGTAGTAGCAGTAGCAGTAGCAGTAGCAGTAGCAGTAGCAGTAGCAGTAGCAGCAGCAGCAGCAGCAGCAGGAGCAGGAGCAGGAGCAGGAGCAGGAGCAGGAGCAGGAGCAGGAGCAGGAGCAGAGCAGGAGCAGGAGCAGGAGCAGGAGCAGGAGCAGGAGCAGGAGCAGGAGCAGGAGCAGGAGTAGGAGTAGTAGTAGTAGTAGTAGTAGTAGTAGTAGTAGTAGTAGTAGTAGTAGTAGTAGCAGCAGTAGCAGCAGCAGTAGCAGTAGCAGTAGTAGTAGTAGTAGTAGTAGTAGTAGCATTCTTAGTAGTTGTTGTTGTTGTTGCAGTAGCACTAGCACTACAGCTAGCGCTAGCGTTAGCGGTGCTAATGCTAGTGCTAGTATGATTGTTCCAACTGCCATGCTTGTTTCTGGCTCGCAGCGGCGGCATTTGTGACTGTACCAGTTGTTGCAACAGTCAGCTGGAGCAACCAGGCGAGCGTAAGGCATGCTACGGAAGCGGCAAGAATTCAGCAGCATTCTGACGTACATTAGCTATAGTCCGGTATAGGCATACGTACTGAATAATCAGGCAGCGTTTGTGGGGACATGGTGTGCTACGAGTTACTGCGGCTCCGATATGCACTTAGGACAGGCCATAAGATGACTGAACCAAATATCACCTGCTCATGTCCAACGAGTCTGCCTTCTGCACCCACGAGGCATATAGACAATGATTTTCTGGTTTGATTTATGATTTGGGGTTGCGCTAACGAAGAGTAACGACTTACAAGTGGGTAAGAACCCAGGAATAGCGAAGCGGCCATAAGAAACGAAGCGCCACGGAGCCCGCAGGTCTTCCACGGCATCGCCCGGTCGACGGGCAGCTAGCAAAAGCAGGGCCAGCTGCCACCGCAGGGGTCCTGCGTGGGCAGAGGGCGATGAGTCGCTTTCTTGGCCTCGTGTTCGGGTGACTTCGATCTCGGCTCTCGCAATCTCCGGGCTTACCGACATGAACTTATAAAACTGATGGGCACTGCAAGGCTGGGGGCCTCAAGTGAAATACATGATAAGGGAATATAAGGGAGGGCTGACATCTCTCCTCACCTCAACGCCAATGCACACTCGTTCAGCGGGACCAGAAGCTGAAGAAGCGAAGGCCCCAAAATCAGACAGCCTTCCTGACAGACATTTGTGTTGCTGCTGATGATCCCTCCTTTCCACCAGGCCTGGAACCCCAGCAGCCGTGGCGTGTGCAAGCTGATGCAACGTCGGCTCCACAGAGAAATCGCCAGCGAGTTGCCATGAAAGCACCGTTTGCCTGAACCGGAAGCAGGATGGGACTCGAAAGCTGTGCAGGAGCTTCCCTATCTCTGGTCCTGTGCAGACTAGATACCTGCATGAGGTCTGGTGGGCGCACCCTCCATGCAGCATGATGCAGCACTGCTCCACTACTGCCGGACAAAACTTCAGAGGAGGCGCTTCTTGTGCTCGAGCCCGACGCTGGACTGAGCGGCAAGGAGCAGCTGCTCCGACAGCTGCAGGCCTTCAGAGCGGTTTTGTCGGGTTCGGGTCTGTGGTAATACATATATACTACCATTATGGTAGTAACTATATATATATATATACATACACTACCATTCTGGTCCAATTACGGTAGTATTCCATAGGTCCATCATGGTGGTAGATATGGGGCCCTCTTATGGTTTCGGGAGCCGCGCAGACGAGCCCAGAGTTGCCTCCGCCGACGCGCAGTACCCGACCGACCAGAGCCAGGGTGGAGCACAGCAGGCCTGGGCCCGGCTCAAGGGGTTCAGGCCCGGCTTCGGAAATATATATATATATATATATATATATATACAAATCATATATAACTATATAGTTATATATATATATATAATATACATATATATATAGAGAGAGAGAGAGAGAGAGAGAGAGAGAGAGAGAGAGAGAGAGAGGCCCAGTTTCGGTTTTAGAGTCCAGGAGGGGGTCCCCTTCCCGGTCGTTCTGGCCGTTGTACGACTTTCTCTTTGCAAGACCCAAACGGAGTCGCGCGAAAACAGGGCTGCAGTCGTTGGTACTTGCGTTGCATTCTTGCACTGACACTTGGGTGGTTGTGAAAATTAGGGTCCCTTTCTGGGTCCTTATTATAATACGGCACCGAATATTTAGGGTACCCAAAACGGGGCCACAATTTTGACAACCACCCACTTATGTCTGTCTGCGGGTCGAAGCCAAGAGGCCCTGCAAGGGCAAAGGGCCTCCGGCAAAGAGGCTCCTCTGCAGGCAGGCCTGGGCTGCAGCCACCGGCGTGAGGGTTGGAGAGAGTCTCGAAGAGTCCAGACCCCACAAGTAAGAAAAAAGAGCTGCAATCCTGAACCCTAAAACCCTTATAGCATCCCTTTAGACTTTAGATCCCTTAAACGGCCCTTTGAACCTACTTACTGTCCCTCGACTCTATGAACTCCGCCTCCAAGCTCGTCGGCAGCCAGGTCCTCAAGCACAACTTTGCCACCTCGCCGGCCTCCGACTCCTCCGAAGCTGCATTCGAGTCTTTCGGGGATGCGCTGGGAGCTCAGAGTTCCAAACATGCCTCGAGGCCTCAAAGCGCCGTTATCTTCTGCAAGCGCGTTCGCGCACACACACACACACACAGAGACAGCCGGAGGAAGCAACATGGAGTGCAAACAGCAACACAGGGTCCTGGGCCGCAGCATGCACCTGATCCACGGCTGTTCTCAAGCCACAACCACAGCAGGCCGGCCAAGAAGAAGCCAGTTCTTTTGGGCACACACGGTCCGAAAGAAAACAAATGTTCGCTCCACGAAGCTTGTCCTTACAGCTACACACTGGAGCGGCTTGAAGCCTCGAAGCCGCCATGCTGAACTGAGCACTGCCACCCTGAAACACAGGATTGCAAAGGATGTGTCTCTTCGTCAAGCACGGACATGCCACGCACCTCTCAATCCCCGCAGCATCACCAGACCATTTCCCAAAATTCAATACCCCCAGATCTACAGCTCTGAACCCCTTCTCGCCCTGGCACCGTAAAACACCAAAATCTTGCGACGATAACAACACTCATGAATTTTCTGAAATGCTGTCGTCATAACCCCAATGGCAACTGTAAATGATGGACGTATCAGCCGCACGAACAACAGCAATAATGACGAAGAGAAGTACAACTGACAACAATCCAACTAAGGGTAATCATGGTACCAGTTTGCAAGCATCACTGAATAAACAAACTGTATAGGCATAGTCATAGCTCGAAACATATTATTAATCACGACTTCGTACAAAGTGATCGTATGAAACCATGGTGGCGCAGCATTTGTGTAGAAGTTGCTCGCCTGTTCCCAGGCTTGGGTCAAGCTCGCCGCGATGCTGCTGACATCGGCGCCCACGGCTAAAGCCACGCGCAGGCACTGCTGCAGCCTCTTGCTTAGGCTTCAGGGTTCTACCAGGACAGGTGCGAAGAATTGTTGCATCTTAAATCTGGCTTCATGTTCTGCTTCCATACTCTGGCTTAGGATCATGTAGTATTGATGCTTATACGCCTCAGGGCTACGTCTTGAAGGGCATTTACTAGGGTTTAAGACGGCATTTTATCAGGGTCTGTGCTAGGCTCACCGAGAACCTCTGATACACCTAAGCCCGAAGCGGATCTCATCCTCTTAAGGGATCATCGGGTCTCTGATGGTCTCTGCATGATGACCCGTAAGCTTCGAGAAGCTTTGGGGATTCGAAGGCCGACAAGCCCTGCATCCTGTAACCCTATCTCTACTGACTCAAAACCCTATTTTTTGACGCTCACACTCGGCAAAACCCAATTACTGCCAATACTACGACTATAGTACTACTACCACTACTACTACTACTACTGCTGCTGCTGCTACTACTACTACGACTACTACTGCTACTACTACTACTACTACTTCTTCTTACTGTTGCTGCCATTTCTGCTGTGACACTCTGGAATTCCAAACCCGATCTTCAGCTGTCTGTCTCTCCAGGGCTTCTTGCGGGCGACGTCGGCTGTTTGTTCCCACAGTGTCTTGTAGGGTTTCCTTTCAGGGTTGGGACGTGCTTGCACGGATAAGTGGTAAGAGTATACCGCGGTCATGAGGCTTGCAGTAAGTCTCGTGGTTCTTGGCGAGGTGAACTTTACAGGCCCTGATTGATCTTTGCTACCAATCGCCTAGACCGAACCCAAAGACAAACCCCAAATTGAACCCACTACTGCCTGTGCTTTCAGCAAGCTACCGCCATTGTAGAACTAAGCATGATAAGGGTTGCGGGATGCCTAAAATGGCCTCAACTTAAGCGTTCCAGAATAGGCCTGGAGTATTGGGCCTCAAGACGAAGCAACATCATATTCGTACAGACCACTGTCGAGACGTTGGCATGATACAGACGAATAATGGCAATACGAATAGGAATAGTAGTATTAATAGCTATTTGTAATGGTTATGTATATTAAGAAGAATAGTAACATTGGTAAGAAGTAGTTATACTAGTTACAGACCCCAAACCTCTTCTCAATACTGAGCCTAAGCCCCCACGCCAATTAGGCGGGCAGCCGCTCCACACCCTCCTTGCGGCGAAGATTTGGCAGCCTCCGCAACCCCCGCTGCCATAGACACCCTGAGGAACTCAGTTTCCAAAACATCGCTTAACATAGAAACTTAAAGACAAACCCAAAGCAGCGAAAGCTCGCCTGGCTAACAAAGGGGCCTGAATGTTTAGAATGGGACTTTGGCGTATTTTCCTACAACTACATAGGGGCTATAAGAGACTAGAAGGGAACAAGAGTACTAGACTAAGTCCTCAGGCTTCTACATTACCTGGAAGCCGTGCTTTGCCTGTCTTGGGGAATGGGAAGGCCAAGGTCTGATACAGAGGCATGCGGTGAGAATTGTGGTTTGTAATAACTATATACACACATTTCCAGCATCCTAGCGTGCAGACGTCAATGAACAAAGCGACCTTCCACTGCGGCTCTTCCTTCTCTCCTCCCCTTCACCCGATCTTCGCAACGTTTTGGTCTTCACAGTAGCAATACCAGTACTGCTGCCGTTGCTGTTGCTTCTCCTTCCTCTGCTCCTGCTCCTACCTGTTGTTTCCTTCATCCCTTTTCGCATCCAGGCCTCTGTGCAGTCTTGCCGGGATGGGAAACTAAATAACTCTTGATCCTAGACTTTCCTGAAACGGGCACTTGCTGCTTGCTCCAGCCTGCAAGCTGTCGCTATGGCAGCCTCTAGGCCCCGCTTCAGGAAGAGCTTCACCTCTCAGGGAGTTCTGGACTCTTCGGGCCTTCATGATGAGGATAGGGTTCTAGTATCCTTATACTAGGGAACCCTACATAGTACTATTACTTGGGGCATGTATAGGGTTTCGGATGTGTTGCGCCTTCGGGTTAAGGGTTTGGGCGCTCACCCTCTGAGATGCCAGGCGACGGTGTTGTCGCGTAGTCGGTTAATGTTGGGGTTAGGTGAAACGGTTAAGGGTATTTAGGGGTTTAGGGTTAGTTGGGTGACAACAAAGTACCCCCAAAGCCCTAAACCCTATTACCCTTTTGTATAGTACCCTAAATCCAATACCCTAAACCCGAGTACACTAAACCCTAAACCCTACTAGCCTATCTAAACCCGAAACCCTAGTACCCTACCTAAACCCTAACCCCTTGTGCCCTAATGCCTCCGCTCTAGTACCCTACCTTTTGCATCCGGTCTGCAGCGACTCGACCGGGTCCGCCCTCAAGCTGTTCATGAGGAACGACTAGTTGAAACACAGTACCCTACCTAAGCCCTAATACCCTTGTCCGTTTAGAAATAATAGACAGAGCCCTATACCTATATCCCTTAGTAGGAACTATGTAAGAACGTCTACTAGCCGGTCTGTTTATTCTTTTGGGGAACCATGAAAAAGGACAAGGCTGACAGCCCTAATACCCTACCTACTATTTGCTTAAGAAACCACCAAATAATCCCTATATTACCCCCATAAGGAATATATTTTTTGGGGGGTTCTTATAAGCAAATAGTAGCTACCTAAACCGTAGGGTTCAAGGCCTCCGGGGCTCTCGTGCTTCCTTGGAATTACAAGCGCTGCAGCCTGGGCTTGATGCCTATATTCAAAGGGGAACAGGAGGGACCCTTAATGGGCTATATAATGGGTATATAATGGCTATAAGGGTATATTACCTAGGGGTCCATATTAAGGGTCCCTCCTGTTCCCCTTGGATATATGGATGGGTGTCAGTATCAGGGTCCCTTCTTGGGTCCTTCGTATAATACGGCACCTAATAGTTAGGGTGCCCAAACAAACAGGGACCACAATTCTGACAACCACCCATCTAATATCTTAGGGGCTGAATACCCTGGACCAAAAAAAGGTTAGCCTATTGAATTATAGTGGCACTCTATAGGCCCCGAAAAGTTATGAAGGCTACCTACTCAGCCCCTAAGATATCCCGAATAGCCCAAAGAAGGTACCATTTATAGACTTTAGACCCCAACTGTCTCAGGGTATGTCAGCGACAGGTGAGCCGATGACAGAAGTAGTCAGTATAGGGGCCTTAAGCATTAGAAGAGAGTTTGGGGGCCCACTCTACACTATAGCTCTAATAAGGAATCCCCACAATACCATAGGCAATTATTGAGGCCCCTATAGCACTTTGAAGATTCAGTGCTCCGGCCTGCGGCCATTGCGACTGTCCAAGGACCTGTGGAGCCACGTCCATTCGCCGCAAGATCTCCAGGGCCGCGAAATAGGATTGAAGCGTTACCTGGGTTCTTGTTAAAGGATTTAAGTTAAGTTACCATATAAGGAAACCATATTATTTATCCTTACTATGGCAACTTAAGTTAAGGTCCCTAACAAGAACCCAGTTACATGTGCAAAACGGGCATGACGTCCACCGACCCGGCACAAGAATGGAGTCGCAAGTAAGTCGGCGATGTTGCTGACAGGGACGATGTGTTCGTTACGGGAGCACATGTCCAGCGCCAGCTGCCGCAAGGCATTTTCGCAAAACGACTTTGCCGGACCTCCGCAGTCTGCGGATTCACTTTTCCAGCCAGCGTTTTGCCACATGGCATCCGCCAAGCATCTGTAGACTTCGAGGCAATTCAGTTTGGACAGGTCGCAGGGAGAGACGTCCCGGTCTTTCAAACGAAGCAGAATGGAGGCAGAGAAAGGCTGCTCCAACATCCTTTGCTGGTCCTTAGTTCTGGAGATTTCCCGTTAGAAGCATCGAGGCAAGTCCGCTTTTACCAACTATTTTGGTGGCTCCTTGTTGCCATTATAGTATCCTGGGCCTCAAAACCCTGTGCATTCTAACTATTAAGGCCCCTATATTCCCCATTAAAGCTTTCGGATTCACTGGCCGCTTGACGTGGTGACAGCAGCATCCACGCCCCTCTAAGAAATCAGGAATCTCTGCTTCAAGTAAAGGTTCCACGCCACCAAGACCCATGCCAGCCAGGGATGAAGGCAGCCTGAACTGACGGAAGACTCTCACTGAGTTTTCACACTCAGGGCTACATCATGCGGTGACAGCGAACACGATCCTAGGCCCAGCAACCCTTAATCATTTCATTCGACTGGGGCTGTCCGCAGACGGAAAACCCGAACAAACTACAGTACAGCCTGAGGGGATGTCCCACACCTTCGACACTTAAAGCAATGCCTAGGCATCTGCACAAGTTCAAACCGCCATAGATACAAAACACGTTACATCAATCCACCGAAAATTTCGCGGAGCCACCTCGCAAAGGGAAGAAAGCATGGCATGTCCGCCACGCGTTCGATTTGGACCTTACAGTGGCGGCGAAGGAGACAACAGGAGAATGGCTCCGGCGCCGGGATTCAGAGACTGCGAACCTATCCGTCCTGCACGCCCAGCCCATGCAAGCTTTTATCAGATTTGGGCCGCTGGGGAACATGACTATTGAACCTATTCCTCCTACTGTTCGTCCAGCCCCTATCGCTGCTGATGCTACTACTACTCCTGCTGCTACTACTACGACTACTTCTGCAGTTACAGCGGCTGCTACGACTACGGCTACTTCTGTTGCCGCTGCGCCTTTTGCTTGTTCTTTTTCTACTACTGCCAGTGCTGCTACTGTTGGTGCTACTCCGTCTTCTGCTACGAGTACTACTGCTACTTTTACTGCTTCTACTGCGACTACGATTACGACGGCGACTACCACTGCTCGGCTGCGCTCCTGCTACTCCTACTCCTACTCCCACCACTACCACGACTAATTAAAGTTACCACTGCCTCTGCTGCTTCGGCTGCGGCGAAGACCACCTCCAACGCCAAAACCGCTGCTAAGTGCTGCCTTTGCCGAAGACCACCACATATACTAAAACTCTCAACTACCCTCTCGGTCAATTTTGACACCACTGTCAACCGAAACCACGCCTGCAGCAAACGGCTGCTGTCCGGAAGATTCGCTGCGGCAGCCTGTGCCCACTCGCGCTCGGCTGTCGTGGCCTCATCTGCTTAAGGGTTTAGGATTTATATAGGGCTGAACTCAACCCTGGTTTAGAATTTCATTTGGGGAGGCTGGCAGGATTTCGGGAGCCTGAATCAGGGATCCTCGCCATCTTGTGAGCCGTTTCTCTGCTGTCTTCAAAACCTCAATGCTTGAATCTAGGCATAAGCTTTTGCCAAAAAGGGGGCCGCATGCAGGCTCCTCCCCATGTTCCAAAAGATGTCTGACATGGGACTGAGAGCCTGAAACTATCAGAAAACAGGCGCAACACACCTTTTCGGCAGGCGGTTGCCCAGACTCAAGGGCCCTACAGATTTTGGGCCAAAAGGGCAGCAGTGTCGCTGCACACTGTACAAAGTGCTTACGCAAAAACGGTCTCGTTTGACACTCCCAACTTTTTGTTGGCCTAAGAGCGTGTCGGGACGTTGAAGGAAAGGGTCAGCTGTTTATCGCTTCCCCCTGTGGGCCGAGCTGGGAGCTCAAGGCTCTCTCAGTAGAGAGGCAGCCGGTTGAACCGTAGCTGCAAGTGGGTACGTGGTGCAAAACGTGTCCAGGTGCACAGACTTCGGAGGTTGGTAGAGAGGACCGGCCTTACTGGGGCGCGCAGAGCACCACACAGTAGTCCTCAGGCGTCGGACCTCAGCTGAACCGTCGGCTGTCGGAGCCAGTTGCGGAAGGTCTCGCGCAGACTGTCAGAGACTTTAGTCAGACCATCTGCCCACATGGCGGTCGTAGGAACCCAGCGCATGTCTTGAGGGGCAATGGTTTCCTGAACAGCCCTGATCGTCAGGCCAACGCGCTTTTCTTCAGTGTTGAAGTTAGCAGCGATGGCGGCGTCGTACAGAGACTTACAATCAGTGGCGTGGCAGTGACGCAGTGTCTTGAGATTGGTGACGGGGTTAGCTTCACACCCGAAAATGATCTCAGAGAACATCTGGTTTGCCAGGACGCCCCTATCGATCGAGTCATCTGCGGCGTATGCCTCACCAGCCAGAGTGGAGCGCACCACACGTGGAGTGCGGGTGCTCTTCCAGTCAAGAAGCACGGCGGGGGCATTGCCTGTCAGCGCGTCCGGTGTCGTGAGACACACAAGGAGGCCTTCTTGGCTTTTGTACTCCTGGGCATTCGCCCATGAGCAGTCACCGTAGCTCACGATGATGCTGTGCTCGTTGATGGGGATCCCGTGGAAGACCAGCCCATCGCTGTGTGTACGAGCGAAGTACTCCGACAGGGCGTACAGCTGCTTGAGCTCACTGAGGGTGGAGTCGTTGCCGCGGTTCATCAAAGAAACCGTAGCAGCACCGTCAGGACGCGTCTGTCCCACGAGCCATTGGAGTGCTCCACAGACGGAGCGGAACTCCGAAAGCTCAGCTTCAGTCAGCTTCGGGTCTTCACGGCCTCGTTGGCGAGTCACCTTCCCGGGGGCAAGGGTACGGATGTACTCCGATTGCGTCACCCGGAGGACGAAGACACCATTCTCCTTGACCGTCCGGAGCTGCTTCCCTTTGAAGGTTATAACGTCGGTGTCGAAGGAGGTTTTGCCCCACTTGAAGAGGCGCGTCAGCACCGTCAAATCAAAGTGGTCGGCATAAGTGACTTAAAAGTCGTCCACGTACACCAACGCTATGCAGTCCAAACAGCCTTCCTTGTCGTAGTGCAGGAAGCACATCCGGTCAAGGGCGTGAGGTCGAAATCCGGCCGCGAGTAGTCGCTTGCCTACCTCGAGAGACCACAAGCGTGGCGCGTTCGCCAAACCATAAACGGATCCAGTGACCTCGTAGATGGTGGCGGGGAAGGCTCCGGCCTTCTCCAGTATTGGGTCTCTCGGAGACATCATGAAGAGGCGATTTGGTCGCTCTCCTTCATTCTGCCTCCCTTGGAGGAATGCCGTGGTGGCATCAGCGCTCCAGAGTCTCCACACTCGGCGGTTCCGTAAAAACGAACGGTTTCGTCCGCTAATATACACCGCGAGGAGGATGTGTTCTGTGAGGCGCGTCGGCGTTGGTGCGTCCCTGCTGATCGCGTGAAGGTCGGGATCACGGTGACCAAGGACCACCACACGGCACTTGGCCTGCAAAGCGCCTTGGCCGCACGCTTTGTCGCGGTAGCACGCGCGTGACTTGAGAACGCGGGTTCTCAGAAGCGGGTCCTTGAGGACCTCGTTGGCTTCTTTGTCACTAAAGGGTCGGACTGGTGCCCAAGTGCCCCATTGCTCGTGCTCCTTGCGAGCGGCTTCGACGTACTTGTCGAAAACCACACGCGGCTGCTTCAAGATTTCTCGCCAGTGGATCTCCCGATTAAGGGCTTTCACCTCTTTGCGAGTCATCTTGTTGACGTTGGCCAGCTGCTTCTGGTCGCCGACGTAGCACACTCTCCAGGACGGATGACAGTCTTCCACGCCGTCGTCCTCCGCACCCTGGATAGGTGGCTCTCGGTGTTCTGAAGCGAACACCTCGGGAAGAGACGCCAGGTCTCCCCGATGGTCGGGCTCCCAGTCGGTACCATCCCAGCCAGGTGGCCTTAGGAACACCTCTCCGGACTCGCAGATCAAGGTCGCTTGGCTGCTCAACCTGGATATCCGCTTTGCAGGAGTCGAGGGTGCTGCAGAAAGTCTCTCGACTGTACGTTTGGTACCTTGGCTTGCCATTTCAGAGTCGTCTTGCAGAGGGACCTCAGAAGCCGGTGGCGAGTAAGCCGGAGGAGGTAGCGGGGGCGCAGAGGCTGCGCTCGCTGCCGCTGTGTCTGCCAGGGCCGCCAGGTCGGCGCCGTCGGTGCCGTCCAAGGCGGACTGTACTTGCTCCTCGCTCGGCTCAGGTGGAAACTCCAGTTCCGGAAACAGGGGCTCGTCGTCTGGCGGCGCTTCACCCTGCCAGTCTTCCACCTCGCCGCTCAAAAGGTTAGCTTCGGCGTTCTTGAGGGCCTTTATATCTTCGTCGGTGGGGGACCAGGCTTCGAAACCATAGGCTGGCCTCAGCTGGTTCCTGTCCACCTTCACCGTCTGAGTGCCCAGTTGCACCCACGCGCAATGTCCATCGAAGGTAACCAACCTGCCGATGACATAGCCGCCGCGTTTGCGGGGGCCTTTTCCGCGAAGTTGGGATCGCCAGACGGCACACTTGGCGCCGGGCGAGATGTCCTCTATCCGCATGTGCGCGGTTTTGCGAAGGAGGGCGCGTCGGACGTGTTGGTCCACGTTGACCTGCGCCGCTGCCTTCTGAGCCTCAGCTCTGTAGACAATCGTGTGGCGGTTGTGCTCTTCCAACGGAATGTTGGCCGCCAGTGACGAGTCGTCAGTCAGAAGCTCCGCCGGGACGCGGGGAATGCGTCCGAACACGATAGCATAGGCTGAGAGTCCGCGGGAACGGGGCATGGAATTGATGGCATGCGTGGTTGCGTCCACCGCCATCTCCAAGTCCTCCGGCGTAGCGGCCGCCATGCTATCCACAACTCGGTTGAGGACCTCGCGGTAGACCGCGTTGCACCGTTCCGCTTTGCCCAGGCGGTGGTGTGCCTCGGCGGGAACGTAGTCCACCTCCGTTGAGTTGTCGACGAGGTACGTCCAGAAGTCACCCATAAACGCGCCGTCCTGGTCTAAGGTGACCTTGTGAGGGAAACCAAAGGGACGCGCCCAGGTCGTGCGGAAGGCTTCGACCACGGTTTTAGGGTTGCGGTCCTTCAACACGCACACTTGCTGGAGGTTTGTCGCCTCGTCCACTATCCCCAGGAGTGGGTAGTTCGTGCCGTCAACGGTCCGCGAGTAGAAGATGTCCATTTGGACACAGTCTCCCAGTTGTCCGACGAAGCGGTCCACGAGTCGAGAAGGTCGCGGGGGAGCGTTTCCGCGCATGCGAAGGCATGAGGCACATGTGAGTGCTTTTGCCGCGGAGACAGCCTCGGGCGTGACGGCGCCGTTCTGTGCCAACATTCGGACAAGGTCCGCACTTGACGGGTGTCCCAAGTTCACATGTAGGCGTGCCACTGCCCGCTGTATCTCCCGCGGTGCCTTGCAGTTCGGAAAGGTAATGTCCGCGCCGTGCACTTCCGCAGGCGGAACGTCCGGGTCAACCGGAGGGGTTCCTGTCGGCTGAGGGGGCGCTGGGACATCGGTTGGATCCTCAGGCGCATCGCCGTAGACGCATATAGCGTATCTCACGGGTTTAGGAAACCGCTGGTGAGGGAAGGCGATGTTGGCGACGTCATCCGATTCACAGGCCACTTCGTCGTCGTTGTAGAGCAGGACGGTGGCACGGTGAGTGAAGGGGATGTCTCGAGGGAAGCGCCGCGCCTTTGGCGCCTTGGCGAGCTGGACTCGCTCAATCCGCCAGGGGATCATTTCCGAAATCCGCTTCCAGATCTCGTGACCGGGTGTGAGGGTGATCTGAGGGGAGGCGCTTGTGCGAAACACCTGCTCCACTTGATCCATCACACCACGCCATTCTCGGTCGTCCTGGACGTAGTCCAGGTAGTAGGTTTCGTGGAACGGGGGCTTTGTTGAAACCCGGTCCCAGGTGCCGCAGGCAGGGGTGCGAAGCGGACGCTGCTTCTCGCGGCGGAACCGTGTAGGCTCCAACTCGCGCACAACTCGGCGGACGCGGTAATAAAGTCCAGCCGGAGTCGCTTCGGGAGTAGGCTGAGCCAGCCACTCGTGGTTAGCTGTAACCCTTTCCTCTGCCTGGGTCACGTGTGCATGGCTGCTGCTGAGAAGCCTGCTGACGTTCTGATTACTCCACACCGTGTGGTCCGGGGGAGCTATCAGGGTCCAGTAGTGACCTCGCCGTTGCTGCTTCTCCAGCGCCTTGAGCGCAGCCTTGCTCACTTCCGGGTCCGAGTGAGCCGGGGAGCTCGTCAGCCTCACGGCCAGGACTAAAGGTGTAGTAGTCCAGTGCTTCCGTGAGCTTCTTCCGGCCGCGGTGAGAGGCGACGTCCCAGGTCTCCTCCACACCTTTGAGGCCGAGGGCTTCAACGTTGCCCTTGCTGTCACACGGTGTGACCTGCATCAGGTCGTGATCATAGTCGATCTTTCTCCGTGCATTCACGGCCTTGGCCAGCTCTGCACGGAGCGTGGACAGCTCCAGTCCCAAGGCTGCCCCTGCCTTCCGAGCCACTCCCGCTAACCGCTTCCTCTGACCGGTCTTCAGGAGGTCCGAGTCCAGTCGTAGAACTCGTGCTCGCTCGAGTCTTCCGGCTCGTAGCTCATCCCCGATGCGAGGCTCGACAGGTCGAACTCCTGAGGTGCCCTGCGGGTCCGAGGACGGAAGCGTTGGGAGCTCACCGAGGAAGGGGTACTCGAAGGCTGGGCCTTGGGCGCTGCCTTGGCTTTGGCCTTCGTACCGGGGGCCGTGTTCGGGGCCACAACCGTAGTCGGCGTTGGCAAGGGCAGAGTAGACCGCCCACGTGACTGAGGCCAGTAGACCCAGCCAGCGGGGTCGTCTTGCCACTTCCACCGGGTACCGCACACCCTGCACAGGGCGTACCTGCCGGTTGCGTTCCCGTAGCGGTTGATCTCTTTGGTCGGATGCGTGCAGTTTGCCGCGGTGACCGTTGCTGGGGGGATCGATGCCTGCAGCATGTTCCTCGCCCAGTCCACTTCGAGCCGGCAGCTCTGGCGCATCAGCACCACGAGGCGGCTCCTCAAGGTGAGGACCTCCACCAGGAGGCGACGCCATGCGCACAGCCAGAGCGGGGGCTGGGGCGCTACGCGTCCGTGCATGGCAGCTAGTCGGGGCTACCACGCCACTTGCAGGAGAGGGGCTCGAACCAACGGCTGCGGAGGCGCGCACTTCAGCAGAGGCTCTCACTTGAAGTGCTTCACTCTCAGACAGACCGTGGTTGTCGGCACTTGCAGCTCTCTGTTCGCTTTTTGGGCCGAAGAGCACCTCCTCGGTTGGGGCACGTCGGTAGTGCCACCGGTCCAGGTCGCACGGAAGTCCGTCGACAGGAAAAGACGTGACACAGATGGCGAGGTGTCCGCCCAATGTCACGTGGAGGGGGACCTCGATCTGGAGGGAGCCGAGGAAGGCTTTCTCAGAAGGGAGGTCGAGCACCGCTCCAAGCTGCTTCAGCATCTTGAGGGACGCCAGCAGCGGGATCTCCGCGGCAAGCAGGGAGGCCACCAAGACCATCGGCCTGCCGTCAATGCCTGCGGGGATCGCCAGCGAGGCAGAGCTCATCGCCGGCTTGCCTGCGCCGAACTTGAAGCGCTCGGACTCTGGCAGCCACTTGCAACTCAGGCCAAAAGGGCGCAAGGTCGCACAGTCCGATGATGCGGTCGCTGAGCGGCGGGGGCAGTGGAGGTCCGCCCGCCTTGACCGGCGCACCATCGCGTGGCATGCCCTGCGAGCCAGCGCTCGCTTTGCCGTGCGAGCGATTGCTCGCCGGCCCTCTCGGTGCCTTGGCCGGGGCTGCCTGGGCAGCACGCAACGGCTCTGCACGCTGAGCTGGCGCCTCGGACGGAGCCGGTGTGTCCGGCGGTGTGACCGTTGGGTCGTCCGTCAGCGTCTCCTCTTCGGCAAAGTGGCCTTCGCCCTCATCGTCATCGCCCTCGTCCTCGTCGTCCGACGGGGAGGGGTCACCGTGCATCCTCTCACGGCGGTCCGCCGGGGACGTCGGAGAGGGCTCCGGCGGAGGAGTCGCCGGAGGCGGCAGTGGAGGGCTCTCCTCACTCTTTGCCGTCTTGCGCGGGCGCTTCTTCTCGGGGCTGGCGCGACTGTCCGAACCTCGGTCGCGCCTCACCGCGTACTTGCGCCTCTCGCGCTGCTTCTTGCCCGGCCTGTTCTTCTTCTTTGCCGGCGCCGGGGGTCCTTGGCACCGCGCTTCCGGTCCTTGTCTTTGCCCTTGCGCGCGGGCTTGCCCTTCTTCCCCTTGCCGTGGCCTTTGCCCTTAGGACGCCTCGGCGGGGTACGGGGCCTGGAGTCCCCGCGCCGGTCCCGGGAGTCGGCGCTGTGGCTCCTCAGCCGGCACGAAGAACCAGTAGCCAGGTCCATCGCCGGGCGGCACCCAAGCCCACGACCCTGGTCCCAGTCCTGGGACGCGTGGCGGTGCCGACATCGGACTCTGGGAGGAGTCGAAAGCCGGCCCTGCGCTTGGGCCCGCACTGCCTGAGGCACCAGGGTCGCCTTCTCGTAAGGGTTGAAGGGGGCGCGACGCCCTGGGGTCCTGCCTCGAGGCGGGGTGCGAGGAGCGGGAGGTCCACCACGTCGCCTCCTCGCCTTCTCTGGGTACAGGCGCTCGTCTCTGCCGTCATAATCGAACCAGGTATCGTTATACGGCTTCCAAGCACCCGACTTCGCCCTCGCCTGCGGCAGAAACTCACGCTCAAAGGAGGGGCTTCCGCGCTCGCGAGGCTCCTTGGGCTCTTCCTTCACCCGGCCGTCCCCTCTGTCCTTCTTGAGGGGATACGCCTTCGGCTCGGGTACCCGGGTCTCCTTCTTCTCCTTCTGGTTGTCCCGGTCCTTCTTCTCCTTCTTGGGGTCCCGGTCCTTCTTGTCCTTCTTGGGGTCCCGGTCCCTCTTGTCCTTCTTGTTGGCGCTCTCCTTCTCGGGGCGCTCTCGGCCTTCCTTGGCCCTCTTGGCATCCCCTTTGTCCTTGGGGTGCCGTGACTCCTTCTCCTTAGGCTCAGCCTTCACTGCCGTAGGCTCCACCGCGGCTGTGGAAGCCGCTGGGCCTGGAGAGGCGGCTGCACTAGCCTCTCCGTTGGCCTCTGCTGGAACCCTCGGGGGGATCACCATGGGCACTCCGACAGGCACCCGAAAGTATCCTATGAACTGTCCCGAGGCAGTGTACAGTCCCTGCTGGGCCGTCCCATCGGGGTAGATGGTCGTCTGCTGGCCCGGAGAAGCCGGGAGCGGTGGTGGTCCCGGCGGGGCTCCCAGACCCGCTACCGGTACCGCCGTCGGAGGCAGCGTGCTAGCAGCTGCAGCTGGGGGCGGTGGTGGCGCTGAGCTCTTCTTGGCCACCCGACCGCTCGGAGGGGGAGCTCCGGGGCGCACTGTGGCGTCGCCCTCGGGAGCTTCTTCTTCGGCTTCTTCTTCCTCCTCCGCGCTGCTGCTGTAGGTCTCGCTTGCAGGAGCTTCCCGGGCTGGGTCCCGGTTGCCCTCCCGCCAGGTACGTGGCGGGGGCATCCTTCTACGCGCTCACGCCGCTTCGCGCGGGGGCGCCTTCTTCACCAGGCTCGCTGGGCCGATTGGCCTCAGCTCAGCACTCGCGGGATTCCGCGCAGTGCTTGCGCCCCGGGCCGATCGTGGCCGGGCGCTTCTCAGAGGCACCAATGCCGCTTCGGGCTGGTGCTGAAGAAAGGGGCACCTCAGCCGGATGGCGAGGCACAGAAGATTGCGCACCTCAGCCAGAAGGCGAGGCACCGAAGGTTGTGCACCTCGACCCGAAGGTGAGGCACAGGAGGGGAGGTGCACCTCGGGCCGAAGGGCGAGGCGCGTAAGCACCGTCGGCCCTAAGGCGAGGCACTCCAGGTGAGAACCTGGAGGGAGCTGTCGAACCCGAGGCCCGATCTTCTCTCGCTCCGCTACCAGTATCAGAAAACAGGCGCAACACACCTTTTCGGCAGGCGGTTGCCCAGACTCAAGGGCCCTACAGGTTTTGGGCCAAAAGGGCAGCAGTGTCGCTGCACACTGTACAAAGTGCTTACGCAAAAACGGTCCCGTTTGACAGAAACTTCCCCAGCCCTGGGAGGAGATGCGAGCGATAAGAGGGGAATCTAAACCTTGAGCCCCAAAACCCAGGTCTCCGTTGTAGTTCCTGCCTTTGGTTTAAGCCTATATGTACTTAGGATCCTATAGATTCTAGATAGACCCTATACCCTGAACCCTGTCCTCTCCGTTTTAGCATGCTGAATTCAGCGGTGCGTCAGATGACCCAAACCAATCCAGAACAAAGAAACCCCGAACCCTAAGCCCTTCAAGGCGTTCCCTTGCTTGGAGGCTCATGGGGTGGTTATAAGTGGAGCTAGAAGTCTCGTAATATGGGTTGTAAGTATAGCTACCCTACTTAGAATCCCACTTATAACTACCCATGAACCTCCAAGAGCCTCTGGAGGACGACAAACCTAGGATGCCCAGTAACCCAGGGACACAAAGGTCTCCCTTTTTGGTACTATAAGGAACCTAGGACTACAAAAAAGGGAACAAGGGTATTACTGGGCATCCTAGAAGCTCATTCTTACAGTTCAGGAGATGCTGCCTCTGACATAAGCCGTGGGTGAGTGAAAAACACTCCAAACCCGAGAGCCCCTAAAGGCCCAAGACTTCCAGACCCCCAAACCCCATGCAGAGCCCTCAAAACCCCGGGGGTTTCTATGCACATCGCTATATATCACGTAATCCGAAGCCGCTTTTCTCTCAATGGCTAAGGCGCCCCGAAATTAGGTGTCGATTCCAACAGCCCAGAAAATAGGGATCCTTATGACACAAGTAAGGAAATGTTGCAATTATCCCCAATCGATACCTAGTATATGATTACCCGCATAGCAACCGTTATAGGGAACCTTCTCTAGCTATGGAGGCCGCTTGTACTACAGGGGCCTAAACAATTACCAACACCGTTTTGGGGAGTTTCGTATTATACTTAGAGTAGAATGGGCCCATTGTTAAGGCCCTACATTAAGCCAAACTCGTCCGCCCGGAAACGTCGGCCAAACCCCAGATGTCGGAAGCAGAGTCCTCGGAAGCTTAACTTGGTTAAGCTTTGGGATAAAATGAGGGGTCATAAAGGGGTTGTGTTTTCTTCCTCCTGAGCTTCTACAAATTCACGAAGGTGCAATCAAGGTGTTGTGAGAAACGCGCTCATTATTCCTGCTCGTTGTCCTTGTACTCATGCAGTCGTCAGCCATGCTACGAAAATTAAACAAGGCAGCAGTCTGTCTGCTTCCTGTGCACATCAACGGGAAGGGCGGAGCTGAACTATGCAAGGCTCAGCCCAGGGTATGCACACTCATAAAGGCATAATAGAGGGCCTGTCCTAATCAGAACAGAGTGTTTGGGGTGTATTATAGTATAACTATATGAAGGAGCTCTTAGGGACAACAGTGGCAATCCTTCAAGCCCCTACATTAACTGGCAATTAGTCGTTGATTTTCCAAGCTTCTACATTATGCAACTCATTGTAAACCTGAAGCTCCTCCACCAGAGACCCAAAGCAACGGCCCCCATTTGCCAATGAACCACACATTTATCGGACCTCAATAATCCGGATAATCCCCGAAAGCCCGAAGCTCCACTCAGACCGTGTCTTTATCGGAACGGATACATACACAGCGAATATCCGCTGCATGAAGCAGACATGCCCATCTCTTAGTAGCTGGGAGAAAGTCTTTTCTTGCGCCAAAATGCCTCGGCCGCGGCGCTCTCCCCGGGAGGCGGCTCGGGGAGTGAGGGCCGGGAGGTCAACAGCACCTGCGCTGCTCAAACTGTCTGGTGCTTAGTAGGGAATGGGGGAATGGATCCCTATAGTAGTTTCTATGTATTGCCCCACAATAGTCTGCACGCTCGAATTCTCTCAAGGGCTTAACAGAGCAGATTTCAGTAACTTGTGACTATGACTGTATCGGGCTCATAGGGGAACAGTGCGACTTAGTTAAAGGAGCCCGAGCATCACTAGAGCAACCCCAAAGCCCCAATGTAAGGGCCTTAATAAGAAGAAGAATAATAATAGTAAGGTTTTGGTGGCTCCTTAACGTAATTATGGTATAATATACCCCAAATCCTAGTCTAATTCTTATAAGGCCCCTGTATGCCCTACCGTCAGCGGCTTCCAGGGCGCTGATTTGGCCATGCCAGGCTGACTCAACCAGCGTTTGGTCCAGCGTGCAAGTGCAGCCGCACAGGGACCTGAAGCACAGCCCCATGAAGCAATCAAAACGAGGTCTCCGAATCTGCAAGGACTCCGTGTGCCAGAGTTGCTACTCTGCGACTCTGGCAGAATTACACTTTCACTGTCAATAGGAGCACCTAATTGTCAACTTCAACAGGCAGCTGGATGTGAAGCGCGGGTCTACTTTGAGATCTCAGATCAGATCAAGCAACCAAGCGGGAAAACACACACTCACGTGATAAGCATGCAAATCACACAAGTTCCCCAAGCATCAACTGGCTTCTTTTATGTACATGCAAGAGCGTTCAACATGAGTAAATGGACAAAACCGAGTACGCAGTCTGCCCTCTCGATTGCCCACAAGCGGTGTTGAATTTAGCGGGCTAGCATGCGCAGGAAAAGCAGTGTAGCTGCAAAACCTCAACCACACGCCCAAACGATTGCGGTGTTGACCAGTGGGCACCGAAACACCATACCTGAAGTTGCACTAAACCTGCTCAACGGAAATGCTGTAAGACTGGCATGCACCACAAAATTGAAAATTGCGTAAAACGAAAGTGGCGCACTCCACCAATGTCGACAAAAGTCAAAGCGAATTCGAGCGATCGTATCAGTTTGAGGCCAGATGTGTGCTGTGGTGCAAACCTGAACTGTGCTGCGTGGGGGTGTGGGGGGCGATGGCTTAATCTATTTGTTAAGTTTTGGTTGGTGTAGGTCCTTGCTGTTTCGGTTTTTTTGCCTTTTCGACACTTCTATCCCAAGTCCTCCCGACTCTCGAGTCGCCAGGTGCTCGAGCATTGCAATCCCATGCATAATTCTGAAACATACTCCGCGAGTCGTCTGTTGAAGCCCTAAAGCGCAACTCCCTCGAGCCCTGTTGAACGAGGTTTCTCTGAAACCAGAAGCCCCGTAATCCCCCCCAAACCCGCCTTGCCTGCGCGCTCCAGGCCCTCAAGAAGCAGCGCCACACCAGCGAAGCGAGGGCCGAGCTCCTCCACTTTCGCACTTTTCTGGTGCCGATAAGAATAACGGCAGCAGTAGCACGCGTAGTAGTAATAATAGTAGTAGTAGTAGTAATCGTAGTCATCGTAGTCATCGTAGTAGTAGTAGTAGTAGTAGTAGTAGTAGTAGTAGTAGTAGTAGTAGTAGTAGTAGTAGTAGTAGTAGTAGTAGTAGTAGTAGTAGTAGTAGTAGTAGTCGTAGTAGTAGTAGTAGTAGTAGTAGTAGTAGTAGTAGTAGTAGTAGTAGTAGTAGTAGTAGTAGTAGTAGTAGTAGTAGTAGTAGTAGTAGTAGTAGTAATCGTAGTAGTAGTAGTAGTAGTAGTAGTAGTAGTAGTAGTAGTAGTAGTAGTAGTAGTCGTAGTCATCGTAGTCATCGTAGTAGTAGTAGTAGTAGTAGTAGTAGTAGTAGTAGTAGTAGTAGTAGTAGTAGTAGTAGTAGTAGTAGTCTAGTACTAATTACAGTAGTAGCAGTAGTCGTCGGACTCGTGGTAGTGGTGGTGGTAGTGGTAGTGATAGTGGTGTTTGTACTATAGTGGCAATAATCATGCTAAGAGAAGTAATAGCATCCAGCAATCTAGCTGGGATGTGGCGGCTGCTCGGCTCCTCCAGAAGGGACTTGCCATGCTCCTGGTGGGGGACGTCTTCGGGTTTCAGCGCTTTCGGGCCTTATAAATTCTGGCCGCATGATTTAAAAAGGTTATAAAAGTGTAGGCTAAGCTACGTCACGAAACTTCCTTGCGTCAGGTTTTTCGGTACTCACAGACTCACAGCCGGGAAATACGGGCGAAAGGGAATCCTTATCGAACAAACCTTCAAGAAGCCTCAAAGACACAGCCCAAACTCACCACCTTACAAGTTGCAATAGGATGCCCCGCAACCAGCCCAAGCTCGAACTTTCAATCAGGGCTCGGGGACTCGGGTGTAAGGCTCCGGGCTCCTCTGTCAGCCACTGGCTGAGGAGATCCAGATCCGACGATTCACCGCCTTCTCGAAGAGGTGTAAAACCCTGCGACCCATGACCATGTACACCGAAAACCCCAGTATATTAGCTCGGAAGCCGCCCTGGAAGTGGAGGATGCTCAGAAACCATCCCTAACACTCCTTACCAACACGTCGTTTATTAGCTGGAGAGGGCACGATTGAACTGTACAGGCAGGGTAAGGTCTGTCGAACACTGCTAGAGCTCAACGGCTTTCAATCACGCAGCCCGAGCCCGTCAGCGAGCCCTAAGCCCGAAGCTCCCTCAGTCACCAGAACTCCAATCCTAAATTCCAACCTGCACAGCCGACAAAGCGTGCGAAGCTGCTCCCCCGAAGCAAGGAAACGTTGAGAGAAAACTGTCTGGGGCTTGGACTCTCGCAGTCGGATGGCACCGGGCAAGAGTCCAGGTTGAGAGGAGTGTACAGTTCGGTGTAGACAAACACGCCGAATCCTAAACGTGGATCCCCGGACCCTTAACCCCAGAAGCAACCCGAGCCGGGCAAATAAACAAACGACACGCACACACACACACACACACTCAATGGGTCTAATCATTATCTAACTCTCCTATCTTCCTCTCTCATTTCCTATCTGTCCATCTCTCCAACCATCCATCTACATACATGCATTCATACGTACCTATATGCATACACACACGTATTCTCTCTGCATGTGGCCCTAAACCCCAAACCAACGCGCCGGCCGGCCGTCTCGGATCATACTCCCGAGCACAGCGCAGTTGGCCTCCGGCAACACGGTTTCGAAGTTCATAGAGAACATGAGAGATATCAGAGTGCATGTGCACTTAATCCTTGTACGTGGAAGCTCAAACAGTATTTTATACATACGTCCGAAGCATTCCAAAAGCTATAGTACACGTGCGTGTGTGTGTGTGTGTGCATGTATGACGTCTGTTAGTCTACAAAGAAAGCCACATACGCACATCTGCATAGACAGACGCCTGCAGGCAAACACAAAGACAGCCGCAAGCCTTCGCATGCCTGTATTAGATGGACGGAAGAATGGGTTGATGAATGGATGGGTGATGATGGGTTCACATTCACGTCGTTCGGAAGCCTACTTTTATTGGCGTGTCAGCCCTAAGGCAGGTGTAATGCAGTCTAATCCCTGGACGGCTGACACGAGATCTGCTTCATCAGATGTGGCGTTCACGATCCTACCGCCTGACTGGGAAGACATTCAGCTGAAACGGACCTGGACCGGAAGCCAGGGACGTGAATCCGTCGTGCCGCCACCCTGGTGCAGCAATAGCAATGGCACTTGGCTTTCCCGAGTTTGGAGGATGGAGTTTAGCAGTTCAGAATTCGGGTTTAGGGTTCAGGCTACCGTTGATTAGTCAAGGGCTGCAGAGTGCAGACTTTGTAGATGTGGCACGATTAGCAGTGCATTTGGCAACAAGCAAAACCGAGACTCAAGCAGTGCTTCCATGCTTTTCTAGCGATTGAAACAATATGAACTGTCTTCGCAACAAACCTATATTATGCAGAAATGCTGCGAACACTTGGACTGTCTAGCGGCTCGTAGCCGCGCCCGGACAGACTTGGAACCTTCGGACACATAAGAGATCATGAGAGCTTTCGGATGGAAGTTTGCCTCGCAAAGGTCGAACTGGAATCCCAACATATGAAAGTGGTACCAGACCTGCCCGACCGACCGTTTAGAACAAGAGCTGCGGTGGCTTTTTTTCTGCAATCTTTCAACAGCCATGCAGCAACACTAACACTTGCATAAGCTGGTAGAAGGGGCCCTCGACAGGCCTCTGCAAGCCTGGCCAGCAAGTGCCTCGCCGCTATGATGCTTTGAGAGGCGAACAAAAGAAACCCTGGGGGAGGAGGGGGAGTTGGTTTAGGGCTTTAGGGGTTTAGGGTTTAGGGATTTCCGAAGATGTGCAACCACAGCTTTTCAGCACGGGCTTTGGGTGTGTGCCGGCAAGCTGAAGTCTTCCAGCTTGCAACCACAGCTGCACAGCAAACGAAGTCCTGAAACCTCACCTGTTCAGGCATCTAAGCCAGCTCACATGCTTTGCAGGACCAGGCAGCGAACATGTGGCGGTTGTAAGGCGAACTGGCAACACTATCTTCCGAACCACCCGCCAACACAAACTTGCGCCTGGCCAACAGAGCCCGGCCACCGGTCGGCCGGCCCTCTAGCAGCAAGCAATGACCTTCGGGTGGCAAAGGCGAGGACTTGCTGAATTTTAGGGCTTCATGGAGTAGGAGCAGCAGCAACAGCAGCAGGAGGAGGAGGAGTCGTGGTGCAGCGAAGTACAGTTGTAGTAGGAGCATAATAGCCGTCGTCGTATTCGCAGGAGAAGTAGCAGTAGCAGTAGGAGTAGTCGGAGGTAGTAGTCAGCGTCGTAGGTATAGAAGTTGCAGCAATAGAAGTAGCAGTAGCAGCAACGGCAGGAGGACAAGGACGAAAAGACGGTCTGTCTGCATGCAGGTATACCATGTACGTGTAGGTCTTTGTGCACACAATTGCACATTTGCTCGCCTTTGCTGGACAAGAAGTTGCGCACCAGAGCTTGAAACATGAATGCCCCTTGTCCCTAAGCCGTGGCTGCGGACATTGTGGGATGACTTTTCAGGATCTGACGGTCCCGTGCACGACCCAAGGTCTCACAGGAAGGAGACGAAGCTTGACTGATCAGAAAGGCTAAACGAATCCATAAACTCAAACCCTATGCAGCCGGAACCTGCTCTGATGATAGCTGCGGCTATGTCGAGACAGTCCATCTGCCTGGGGTTCGCAGGAAGGCCACCATCTCGTCGATCTTCACCGCCCCACTGGCGACAGCGCAGCTCCTGCTTGGCAGGAGTAGCTCAAAGCAAACCAAGGCTTCGGGTGGTGCCTCTGCTTCCAGTTTGGGGAACTCTGCTGTCGGAGATCAGTGGCAAGCACTATAACATCACAGGCACTAGGTGAAATCCTCCAGATGCCAGGACCAAAAAGTACCGCATTCCGGCAGTATATCGTAATGCCAGCTGCCAGTCACTCTCGCAACAAACTCTCCTTGTCGAGGGTGAACTCACATGATGCTTTGATTCACGCAGGCTTTACAGTACCCTTTACACCGCTAAACTTTGAAAAACCAATCTGGTCACGGGAGGGACTTCTGTCGGTCCTCGAGGTCATGCGAGACATGGCTTCAGCCCAGGTACCACGATGCGGGCCACCTCTGCTCTGCCGGCATGGCAGTTTCCGAAAATTAGGGGGCCATAATGTAGTACCCCCTAAATAGTAGGATGCTTATTATAAGGACCCCAAATAAGACCCGTAATTTTCGTAAACTCCCATAAGATTAAATGCACACGACACAGGGTGCAGGGATCCGTGCTTCGGTGCTCACACTCCAGGGCGGCCAACGTGGGTCGGGCGTAGGAATCTTGCAGAATCACGCTCCGCACACATTCTATGCGACCGACTGCACGCATAGGTATGTATCTGTGCATGTATGTATGCAGGTCTCTAGGCATGCAAGCTTACAAGCACGCATTGGGGCTTCGCCCAAAGACCTATGACACTCAGTTCCGATCCTCAGACTGGGGCACTGGACATACCCCGAAACCCGGTTGTAACTGCTGAGCTCCCAGCAAGCCTACACCCGGAGATCTGTTGCTTCTAAAGCAAGAGTTAGGGGCTGAGTACCCCTAGCCCAACACGAGAGCAACCTTTCGAATTATAGCGGGTTATATAAGCCGCAAAGGGTTAAAGGTTACCTACTCAGCCCTTAAGAAGAAACCCTTAAGCCACCCAAAAAAAGACCACGTCGCGCCTTTGAGGCGCAACCGGAACTCCCCGAAGAGCTCTGGCACCAGGGAGGTGGTGTCGCCAAGGCAAAGCAGCTGTCCTCAGCGAGGTTTGCAGGCTTATGGTTTAGGCCCGTTTAGGCTTTAGGCGCCCATCTAGGGGTTGCGGGCAGGTCCATGTCATCAAGCTCCCCAAGTGCGACGGATCCGTTGTCGTGGGAAGAGTCGGCCGCCTAACAGCCGAAACTAGCTTCACAGAGGGACATGGTCTGCAAGACTCGCAACTCTAAACCCGACATTCTGCCCTGCACCGGTTTTCTGCTGACAGCGGTGTAGCCAGACTGCCGTTGATACTGGTGGCCTTGAGGGTGCTGATGGATGTGGTTCTTGTCGCGGTGATGGTGATGATGACGGCGGTGATGGTGGTGATGGCGAAGATCATGATAAAATGACACGGATGATGATGGCGATGAAGAAAACGACATAGATACTATAAAAGGCTACTCAACAACGAAAGTAGTGCCACTGTTACACTTTGAGAACGATGACAGCAACAGTGGTAGTCATGGATGACAATACACACAAGACTGACAGTACTACGTCGTACCAATGCTCGTAACATGTCCGGTAACATTCGGAAATGGCCGCCGTGGTCATAAGCCGTTGATATGCTCTACAGCTGTATCATTGTTGGACCTGATGATTTTACCTGCAAGGTAGGAGGGTGGGTTCATAAGCGTGTACATAACCAGGGCCACCTCACCGAGGCTTTGGAGACAATGGGCCTAAAGCCTCAACCCCGCAAGACAGAATCCTGGCCCATAGCTTTCCAGTGCAGTAAGAACGAGGGGCCCCTTGATGCTTTTTATACCTGGGGGGGGTACAGCGAACTGTAGCTTGAGACTCCAAAAACGTAATAACATGAATCCCGACTCCGTCTTGAACTCTCCGGGCGCGGCAGGTGATGGTTTCGGTTTCCCAGCTTTTTAGAGGTGGTCTCCGAGCTCTTCTAGAAACACATGGCCTTGTTCAACGAGTTCGGGGTCAACGTTGGAGCTTGGACTCTGACAGGCTTTGGACTCTCGCAACTCTCACAGGGTATAAGTTAAGGGTTCAGCCTTCGAAGCCATGACTGTGAAGGATTCAGTAAGGGCTTCTACAGGGGCCGTAATGATTAGAATACAAGTTCGGGATGCATTACGCATACTGTAATTTTGTAGGGAACCTTAAGGCGAAACACCGGCCAAGGCAACCAGCGGCCGCCGCAAGGCCTGTGGAGAGACTGGCTGACATATGCTGGTGCAACGAGGGCATCGGAATTGGCAATTAATGTACGTAGGAACCTGATTAAGAAATCCTGGGCCTATAACCACGAAATAGTAGGATCCATATAAGGAAGCCTGGTAAAGGCCCGAGGTTTCTGAATCGAGTTCCTACATTACGCTCTCACGACTCGGACATGCCAGGCGAGGTTCTGACTCCAGGTTCCTATATCAAGGTTTAGGGAATATTCCCCTGTAGTCCCCTTATGTAGCAATGTACCGATTAAGGACTCCGAAACAAAAGCCCCTGTTTAAAGTATTAAGACCCGGCCCTATGTAATTGGGACAGCGGGTCCTCGACAGCGCACACTGCGCCCGTCTTGAGCTGACGCTTCCGTTCATGCACTCTTAGTGTTGTGGTCAGTTTTTGAAAACTTTAACTTAACATGCTAGCTTCCAGCTGCAGGTGGTGAGCAGAGTCTATAGGAACCACTGATGGCTCGCCTTGCGATGGGGAGCAGAATAGAAACAACAAGCCCTGGCGACTGCACCGCTCAGAATATGACTTATTCTGAGCGGCGCAGTATGACCAATGCAGGGCAGGTCCCACCCCACCACCATTCCGCTAAACGCAACTTGGCAACTAAACCTTTAGGAAACCTCAGAAGCTGAAAGGCCTCAAGGCCACCTCGTGGCGAGAGATGCGCCGCGAGCCTCAGTTCCCATGTCGCCGCTGGCGTAACAGTTGAGATCACTCGCATTCGACTGGGTCAGGCGAGTCTCGTGCAGGCTCAGGGTTAAAGACTTAGTATTCAGGGTTTCGACTCTCTAGACTCCACATATGTTTTTGCGTGAGGCAGCTGCGAAGGCCCATCTTCTCGCAGGCGAGTCCACGACATCGGAGAAAAAGATTGGAAGTCAAGCCACATCCCGAATAACTAAGCGTAGATTCACGCGCTAGGCTTTTGAATGAATTTACAAGTGCATTATAACTGCCCCCAGTAGGGCACCTGGTCATACCCCTCACCCCGATACTCCAAACCTGAAATCGTAGCTACAGCACTTACGAAATACGAAGACCACTGAACGTTGAAGGCCGTGGGCCTGAGTCATGCGAGCATGCCTCTGCACAGCCAAAACACAGTTGAGTAAGCCTGGCCCTGCTCGTGGAAAGAAGCCGCACCACTCTTCCGACAAGACCCTCCGCACCAACTCAGGTCGACTGTTGTGCCCTGTGTGAGTCTCGTGAACCCTTTGCCAGAACGCACTGTGCCTTAATCGCGTTTCTTCGAATCCTTGAAGCCAAGGACTCTTGACCCAAGTCTACAACCACTGAGCTGTGGATCAGAATGCGCCAACTGAATGTGGTCCGATCGACTGCTCTCCGTCCTCGTCCCTTCCACATCGCGCATCGTCCGGGAGGGTGGCCAAAAGCCTGAGGCAACATCATGGACGCATTGTTTTAAAGACTCAAACGAGCACGTGGCATGGACGTTTTCGATTTCTAGCCTCCTGCAGTTCGAAACCGAAAACCACAAGACAACAACAAAAACAGCCCTCCGGAATCCAGAATGTCACGCTCTTCGGCGTGGGTGCTTCATCAACACAACTTTGACCATCATCCTCAGACATCTGCGACGGGAAGAAGGGGGCACTTGGAGTGACATGGCAGAGCAACTCCTCTGCAAAACCATCACGGGCCTCCGCGCAAATCCTCTCGACTCTTTGGCCGTAGGCCTCCGCCCGAGGACGCCTGTATCGGCAAAACTTCCAGCGAAAAGTCCCAGCGCTTTGGTTTTCTTGTAGAGTCGAGGGTTTGGGAGTGGAAGAGTTTCAGGAACGGTGTTGGTAGGGCGTGGCTTTGGGTTACGCGGCACTCTGAAACTTATATACTAGGGCTGGCTCGACAGTGCCAGTGCCACCATATCTGACATGACCGGAGGGGATGGGAGGGGAGCACCGGAGCTGTGCGGCAGAAGCTTCGACAACCGGGAGCTTTTCGGGTTCACACTTGCACGCAGCTTACACTCCAAGGGTAAAAGGAGGGACCCTGGATAAGGACCCCTAGGTATATACCCTTAATATGGCTAGTATATACCCATTATATAGCCCATTATAGGGTAGGGGTCCCCATTAAGGGTCCCTCCTTTTCCCCTTTCATACACGTCATGACTGACACGACCCTGGGGCCCTGGGGTGCTGGATCTGACGCGGCTTCGGTCGGACACCTCGAGCAGAGCAGACCTCCACCGGCAAGCTGGCATCCTGGGCCAACACAAGCCTGGGCGGGGCCAAACGTGTCAAGGTCAGAGTTCTGGGCGGTGGACAACTTTCGTCTGGCTGGGCCCGTGACCCACTTTCACCACACCATTCTCAGCGCCCTTCATCGTCGTTGCTATCATCAGTATCATCCCCAGTGTCATCGTTACAGTCGAACGGCGAAGAATTACCTTGCGCCTTCTTCTAGGGCCTCTGTGAAACCAACCGGATGGAGGAAGAATGACTATGACTGTGACTTTGCTTGGCCAGGCACTCGTATAAGCACCACAGCCTCGTTGGCCAGCTGGCAGCCTCTCCCAACACCTCGGGCGAGACGACGAACTGAGCATCGCTGCAATGAGGCCTCTGAACTCGAGTCCCTCAGCCCGCAACCCAAAACTCAGTTGACTGTCCGCTTTAACCCTAAAAACACCACCCCGATCATGGCCAGGTGCCACCACCACGAGTCCGCTGGCCGTCATGCCAAAGTTCAGGTTGCGAAGGTCTGCATCGAAGTCCTGTCATGCAGCGTTGCGTGGGTTGCCTTAGGGTTGGAAGTTCAGGAGGCTCTGCGGCTTCCGGGTGCCGGCTCTGAACTCAAGTTTAGGAATCAGGGAGAAGTGGCTGCACCTTCAGAAAGGCTCTGCAAACGCCGACACTGTGCCACAGCCGGCAAAGCCCATAGCATGGTATACGATGGACTTAACGAACATAAACGAACCCCGGTTGTCAGGCTTGGCATCCAACAGGATGGCTCCCTGCGTCTCCCTCCCTCCCTCTCTCTCTCTCTCTCTCTCTCTCTCTCTCTCTCTCTCTCTCTCTCTCTCTCTCTCTCTCTCTCTCTCTCTCTCTCTCTCTCTCTCTCTCTCTCTCTCTCTCTCTCTCTTCACATAATCTTATGCATGCATGCAGGGATGCATGCATCTCTTCTTCCACAGGGCTTGAAGGGCTGGTTAGGCCCCCCGGCCTCATGGGCCCCCCGTTTGTTACGGGGCTTTCGGTAGGGCGTGAAAAAGCATGGGTTCCCCTAGGTTCCACGGGCAAGTGTATTGGACTATGAACAACCTTCAAGGTCCCCCATGACTTGTATGACACATGCAGCCAATGTGGACTGTGGGTCTCTCTCTCTCTCTCTCTCTCTCTCTCTCTCTCTCTCTCTCTCTCGCCGGCAGCCCTCAAACTCTGCCCAAGACCCTGCAAACCAAAGCTCCAAGCCTACGCCCTAAATCTACATCAGCGAGTTTAGAAAGTGCTGCGATGCGATGCCTCGGAAGGCTGCGACAGGAGGCCCAGCCAGAAGCCTTGCTCTGGCGACTCATGTATGTATGTATGTATGTGCGTAAGTTCAGGTGTATGTTAGGAGTAGGTGTAGCTTTGAGTGCGATGCAGCTGTAGGTGCAGGTGTGTGTGTGTGTGTGCGCATATGCATGTGCAAAAGCAGGTGCATGTGGATGTGGATGCCCATGTCTTTACGTCTTCACGTCTGTATGCAAATGTACATGTATATGTGTGTATATATATATATATATGTATATTTACATGTGTGTGTATATGTGCATACGTATATACGTATACTTGTACCTATGCATAAGTATAAATGTATTTACTTACGAGGGTATCTATGTATATATGTATGTGTAGACATGTATGTATGTATGTATGTATATACTTATAACTGTATGTATTCACAAAGGTGTATATACATATACCTCTACATAAATGCATACATGTAAATATGTGGAAAGTGTGCTTGTGTGTTTTTGTGTGTATATTAGGTGTGGTTCGATACGTATATATATATATATACATACATAGGTGTCATATACATGTATGCGTATAAGTGTGTGTGTGTATGTGTATATGTATCTGTAGTTTGTTTTATATGTTAATTAATTTGCAATATAGTATGTTTGCATACGTTATAGTCTATCACATGATGTTGTCTTAAGTTGTCTGTAAATGTATATGAGGCTGTAAGTACCTGTACATGTATATGTGAAAAGCATGTATGTACTATATATATATATATATATATATATGGTAAATGTATGTGTCGTTATATACATACATATAGGTATATACATACGTATAATACACACATTGTCATGACATACTATATAACATAATACGGAATAGCCTAGTGAAACATCCTAATCATGAAATATATGCAAAGAACAAGCAATAAACATGTACAAGTGCACATGCATAAAATTGCCTATGCACACATCATACACCCTGTTTCATATAACGTATATGTGTAAAGATCATGATTTACATATGTATATATATATATAGAGGTATACTGTGCTCATGTTTTACAGGTCTTCATTATGTTCACGCCTTACAGGCCTATAGTTCTGTGAGTGTAATATCACATGAGTTAAATACATTCACATAGGTACGTGTGTATGTACACATCGTTATGTATGTATATATGTACATGTATACGTATACGTATGTGTATATGTGTGTGTGTGTGTGTTATATGTGTGCATTTGCGTATGTGTGTATGTATGTATGTATGTATGCATGCATGGACGTATGTGTGTGTGGACGCATATGTATGTATGCATGCTTCTTCTGTATGTATATTATAAGTCTATATGTAAACACAAGCCGCTGATGGCCACAATAAGGAATTCATGAAACCTAGTGCAGTCGTCCTCACGTCATAAACATCAAGGGTCTCCGTAGAATCGTCAAATGGAACAAGAGTGGGCATCAGATAGCGATGTGACCATCTTCAGCCACATGACTCATGATGAACTCAGACTTCAACTCTGTCCACAATTATTCCACCAAAAGCATGGAAAGATATACAAGAGTCTGCTGAGAGACATGTCCTTCATTAGGACAGCTTCAGAATTTTAACGCCATCTAAACCCTGAACATGATGGCCTTAGCGCTGGCTCTTGCCAGGCCCAAAGCCCGAGCCCTAAACTGCACCATGACCGCTGCCGCTGCACTGCAGTCGCACCAGGAACGCCATCCCCGGAGCTCCACTGCATAGCGCTGCAAAGCCAGGATGCAGTCCTAGGACTGTGGGATTTGAATTTAAGGGCCTTTTGTGCTTGGGAACTCCTTCCTAGCAAGGCGGGACGTGGAGTATCTGAAGGGTCCAGCAGGTAGCACATTATGCAAGGACTTCGGGCTGCCAATGCGATGTTGCCGGCCTTGGGTTTAGGGTCACTTCGGATATTGCCAAAGCCTCGAGGCTTCACAGACGTAATACTTGCAGGGACTACAGTTTTTGGTGCCAGCATGTTTTGGCCCAGGCATACTAGCCTACTGCCTGTACCGATTCTGACCACAGGGGTCTCCGAAACGAGGGCCTCCATACGAGTGAACCCCACGCATCCTCTCATGGAACCCGGAACGGAACTCCCTGAGCTTTTTTCAGCATGGGCTTGGATTGTGTGCCAGCGAACACTCCTCAACAGCAGAGCCTTCTCGTTTGACGAGGGATGCATACGCGGGAGTGAGAGAAACACAAACTCGAAACCCTCAATCCTAACGCTAGAATCCCATCCCTTGTATCCGGGCTCCTCAACAGAATCTCCACACCCCAAATCCCAAAGCCCAAAATCATTTGCAAAACCCAAACGAAAGCAACACCCTGTAATGAATGAGCCTCTAGACTCTAGCCTCAGGACGGCCAGAAACTGCCAGACCTCACAACCCCAAACCCTAACCCGCAACCCCCACACAACCCCAGAAAAACCAATACCTACGAAAGGCTTTAAACAAAAACAACACAAGCCAGCACCCTGAAGCCAGCAAGCCTTAGGCCGTTTCCTAGAGTTCCGAGTTTTCAACATGGTATGCGGCTGTTGAAGGCTTGTGCGTGAGAGGCTTGACTGTGCAGGATTCTCGAAAGCCTCTGGTGGCAAGCCCTCCTAAGCCCTAAACCCGCTTTTGCTACTGGACCCCAGTCTAGCCAAACCTCGACCAGCAATCACCCTGTACCCAAACCCCAAACCCTAAAACCTAAACCCTAAATCCCTTTTGCTGCAGGCTTGCTTGCAAGGACGGCTGGTAGTTTGCCGCTAAACCCCAAGCCCTAAACCCTAACCCCCTCTCTCTCTCTCTCTCTCTCTCCCTCTCCGGCATTCGAAACGTCAAGCCCGGTCCCTAAACCCTAAACCCTAAACCTCAAACAATAAGCCCTCTCATCCGAGCATCCTCGAACGACTCGCTCCAGCAGTGACTGACGAAGGCCTGTCCGTCTTACTTACTACTTTTGGAATGGAGGAATGGGGTACAATTATATCGACTATTACTACCATTCTTCCACTCCCTACTAACCAAACTTAAGCTTAGTGGTCTGCTGTGGAAGACATCTGGGACTTTCCGAAAACACAAGGGTACCCTTTTTTTTGGGGGGTCCCCATATATTCAGGGTCCTACTATTTAGGTACCATATTTTCGGGAACTCCGGTCTGGTTTCCATCATCTTCATCAGCAGACTCGGCCTCAACGCATACGCGAGACCGTGGGTGTTTGGTCACGAACCATCGTCAAACGACTTCGTGATTGCTGTGATCGCGGTCATCCGTTACGACCACTGCCCAAGTTCATAGAGTTCGCAACTTCAGCTTCAACTTGCACTGCTGTTAGTACTGCCGGTGCGCTGCGATGCGACATTGCCTACCATTATCTCCCTTCTTCTACATCCTTCAGAAACGATTGAAGCCTCCACGCACATGCTAAGTCGGGGTCCAGTGCTCGGAGTATCGGGCAACTTTGCAGAGAGGTCCAAGCGTAAGTAACATAGCTCAGGATTTCGACTTTAGGGTTAGAAGGCTGAATACCAATACTACTGTTTTTTTACACACATCCTGCATTTCCCATAATAAGGAATATGCCATAATTCCCGTACTGTAGGGTCCTTAAGGTAATGCAGGATATGTACCATCAACCGTAGTCAAGTCCTTGGGGCTCCTTACCTTCTCTTTAAACACGGTATCAAGCAACCCAAACCCCAAATCATAGGCAAAGTCATAGTAATGATAATAGTAGGGGTCATAGTGATGGTAATCGTGATAGTACTGGTAAAAGTAATAGCAATAGAATAATAGCATTCTCAAAAACCTCTACATTACGTGGCTGCTAGAGTTCAAGAACTAGGATCCCCGGTAACCTAGGACGAACAAACTGCACCCTTCTTGGCATCGGATGTATTTGACCAGGAAGGTAAGACTACGAAAAAGGAAAAAAAGGGCCCACTGAGAGACTCTAAACCCTCAACCTAATCCTAAAACCGTTTTTGCATCCAGGCCTCTTGAAGTCTTGCCGGGGAACGGCACCTTAAAACCCTACACCCTTTTTTGCATCCAGGCCTATTGCGACTGCCGGCCCTACACCCTAAAAACCCTTTTTTTGCCAACCCTAAAAACCCTAAACCCTAAACCCTCAACCTATAACCCCTATAAACCTTAAAACCCTAAGAAAGGCCCAGCGCCTCGGGAGGCGATGGCGGAAGCAGCTCCACGAAAGCCCGGCGCTCAGGGGATAAAGGCTCCAGAACCTTCCGGAATGGGGGGGGAGATTTGGGATTGCAGAGGGCCTCATTGGGCCCCTCAACACTGCTATGGGGATGTCATAGGGTCCCTGATGGAAGGGTTGCTATGTGAGGGTTCGCGTCTTGAATAATCTAGGCTTTGAAGTTTATCCCGTGAGCTGCGCAAAAGGGTTTATGTGGTTTCGACTCTGCCAGCTTAAGGGCAGTGGCAGCGGGGGTAAGGGTTTAGGATGTGCAGGTGTTTGGTGGGCCTTGCATTCCAGCCACATGCAGGCTCCGACTAGCCAGGATGTGCACATTAAGCGGGGAAGGCTCCGTGGCTTCAGAGCTACTATGTAGTATGGGTGTTTTTGGCTCTCGCGCTCGTACGCTTCCGGCGAAACTTCTGGGCAACAGAAGGCAACTCGAGGGTTTGGTGGGGATACCCTTGCACACCTTGAACCTCAAGTCAAACGCCAGAGTTTCGAACTTCCTCATGGCCCTGCTGCTTTGTGCCTTCTCGCATGTACGAGTGCACGTCTCTCAAGGCACCCGGCAGTATCACACATGCTGCTGCAGTTCTTGGGGAAAACTGCAGGAAAGCTCACAGCTAGTCGTCCTGCTTGCTCTCGACTACACTGGCATTGAGTGAACTGCTTAGTTTCTTTGCGTGCTTTGCCTGAAACGAGGCCGGACAAAACCTTTGATAGATGACGTAATCGATGGGACTGCTTGCGACTAGCAAATTCAGATGGAGGATCCGCCAAATAAAGAAACTGTCGCAATTCAAAACTGACACGTACATAAAAACGTACTTACATACCTACATACATGGCTGCATACCAGTAACTACTAGAGTGTGTCACCCCTGTGCTTGAGCTTTGCTACATGCCTCTGCGGGCACTCAAGACCACCAACTCATCTGCTCACCACTCTCTCCGTAGTTTCCGGGGGTAGAGGCCCCTGGGCCGGTTGCTCCCGGAATAAGGAAGGGTCTACATATAGTCGGCTTATGTCGGCTCCATGAATTAAACAAGTTCGACAACTTTCATGTCAACGAGGGTTTGGAAAGATACAGACCCCAACCTTCATTCGTTGATCAAGCCCACCTCCTGGCGAAAGCGTCCCGCGCAGGGCCGCACGGCGCGCTTCAGAGCCGCTTGGTAAAGAGGGGTCTCAAGCCAGCTCCTGCGCAACAGGACTGTGTTTGTCTCTGCGAGAAACACTGGCTCCGCTGGCAAGCACATTATCACCGCCGTGATCAACGTCCTTATCGACTCATCGCCAAAGTCCTTGACATCGTCATCACTGTTACTGTCACCAGCATGGGAGCCAAGTGGCCGCTAAGCCGCGACGTACTGGATGCTTGATGCGATTTTAAAAATAATGTCTAGTACTGCTGCCCAAAACAATATTAGCTCCTCTTCAGCTCTAGCAGCTCCCGCAGATGTCCTCGAGAAAGCTTCGTTTATTTGTATCTTTCGTCTCCGGAAAAAAGGCGGGGGTCTCAAAGCGAACATGGTACCGGGGTACTGTATTTTGGGGTTCTTATAATAAGGGTCCTACTAATTAGGGTACTATATACCAGGCACAGACTGGGCAAGGAACACGGAATGAAGCTGTACACTTTCCCAAGGGCATGCGTGCAATGGCGAGGCTGGCAGGAAAGCCAGCGACACTTACAGCCAGGAAAATCACCACTGATACTGGTAGTATGTCAACATCTAACGGTTAACTCAACCAAGGTAGCTGAAGATGCATATATGCACGTAACATCAAGGTTTATACACGTACATACTTACTTACGTGTGTGTTTGTGTGTGTTATACAGTGTATATGAGTATTCGGCTGACATCTGCTCATAAGATTATTTGGTCAGATAGACGGTCGAGGTTATCGGCAGAAGGCAGCAGTAATAACCTCACGGTTGAGGGCTTCGGTTCCAACATTCGGGCACGGTGTTTTTTTATTGCTCTGCTGTCCTCAAACAAAGCGATGTGCACGAAAACGACATGCTTGTGCAACGCCGGCGGAAGTATATGCTTTCAGAACGCCAGGCATGCAGTGCGCGCACAAAGATGGACGGACGGATGCGCGACGGCATATGCTGCACACCGTGCTCGTACGGGCGCACGTCTGCATTTCTGCGTACTCCGGAAGTACTCCCGGCCTAAAGCCTTGCAAAACCTAGAACAAACAAAACACGTCCGATGATCTCGAAAACCCTGCATGCTGAAAAGGCACTCATGCAAACCCCTGCAAGGGCGGCTGGTCGTGGCCGCAGCAATGTCGTCTGATGAACTTCGAAATAGACGTGCTCCTGCGAAGCCGCGATGGACATAGCGTGTGGTGTGTGGGTGGGCTTCGTGTGGATTTCCGCCATTCCGGCAGTTCGGGTCGCGGATCGGATTCCTGGCTTCAGGATAGACGATCGTGCACGAATCGATGCTAAGGACGCTGGGGAGGTATTGGCAGCATCAGGCAAGCTTGTAATCTTACCGACCGACTTACTCACACACACACATGCAGACACACAGACCTATGTACCCTACGTCCATGCATCCATCCATGCATCCATCCATCCCGTCCGCGCATCCATCCATCCCTCCCTCCCTCCGTCCATCCATCCATCCATCCGTGCATCCGTGCATCCGTGCATCCCTGCATCCGTGCATGCATCCGTCCATGCTTCCATCCATGCATCAATGCATGCATCCATCCGTGCATCCATCCATCCATGCATCGATGCACCCATGCACCCATCCACCCATCAGCCATCCATGCATTGAGCAGGTGTCCTGACAAGGCTCCCAGCGCTCATCGTGAAGAAGCAGCCTAGCAAGGGTGTAGTCCAGAAGGTATAACTAGACACAAGATTTACGGCAGCTTGTTTCTCATGTACCTGGGTATTATACACGAACGCCTGCAGCTCAATATCCAACTGTGTTACCAGCAGTCACTAGCCACTAGCACCTGCAAATGGTGGGTCTGCGAAGTACCCTGGAATCGTTTCCGTCCACCCCAGGCTACGCCTCAATACACAGCGGCTGCCAGGAGATGAAACTTCCAACCGAAGGGGCTCGAGCACAACTCTCAAAGGATTGGCAGGCCCCTATACGACAACGACGGCAAACTGCAACACCAACCCGCAAGACCAGACTAGACCAGACAGACAGACGACACAAACCGGCGCGGGATTGCTGTGGAACAGTTAGAAGAACTTGGCATGCGGAGTGTAGGGCTTTGGCGTTGTCATGTTACGATGCGACGATCGAACAGGAAAGGCGTGTTTCTAATGCAAGACCCCAGACCCTCAACTAGCCCCACGACCCAAAACGAAATCCTGAAAGCTACACCACACAACTATACACAACTGACATCTCCTGAAACCTAAACCTCAAACTAAACACTACACTAAACCCAACAAACCCCAAAGACACTCACAACCCCGAACGCCTACACCGTAACCCCAGAACCCTCAACTGTCGCCAGGGCTCAAGTGGACGCGCAGTTCTAATCCCTCTCCACGAGCCCACAGAGCCGCAAGAGAACGGAGCTCCTGAAGAACAGGAAGGGGCTTTGCTTGGGCTTGAATGTCTAAACTTCGGGGTTGTTTGCTATTTAAACTTTGGGTTTAGAGTTAGGGACAGGGAGGGGTTGAGGAGTGTAGGGTTCAGGGGTCTAGGGATTAGGTTCCGACTCGCACGCTCGCACGGAAGCAAAGGTTCTTCTGGTATGCGTGCTGGCATGCTTGCAAGAGCCTGCAGGCCCTGGATTCGGGTTTCAGGGTACGCCTCAAAACTCCATTCAGCAGACGCGAAGCCACCGCTTCTCTGCTCCCAGTATAGCCTTGCTTCCGGGACCATTTATGACCATACCATAGTGGCCTGAATGGTTTCCAATACTATCCCTAATTAGGGCTCCATCTTGTAATTATAGCCACGATGTATCCCCAAAGCTTTTTCTTATTATCACAGGCCCCTACAAACCCTTACGACTTAGGGAGCAAGGCTTGCAGAGCTCATCGCGGCTTTGGGGTTGGGGCGCCTTACTGGATGTGAGGTATGAATATTCGGGCCCTGAGCTGTAAGGCTTCCTCCAAAAAGGCTGTTCCTAACACAGCCCAAGTCCGAGTCCTTGTCCGACAGACGGAATCCTGAGGGCGCAGGCATCTTCGGGCTCGTGACTCTGGGGTGCTCGGTGGGTGCGGCGGCTGGGATCGGATGCCTAGGTCCCAGGGTTCAGGTCCGCTAGGCTTTGAGGCTGATGACCTCCAGTCCCTCTCAGGAGGCCAGGAAGTGACTGGGAACTGCTTCAGGCACGAACGAGCCAGGTTTGGCCGCTTTTTCGAATCTAAGGACCCTGAACCCCATCCCAAAACCCTTTTTGAAAGCCCTATACACCCTTAAACCCTCAACGGCACTAAACCTTCACCGCCCTGAACCAGAGGTCGTGCACTTCCCAGTCGGGACTTCCACTGCAACAAAGGAGAGGCGAAGGAGAAAGACGTATGGAGGGTCTTGAGCAGTTTTTCTTCTGAGTCGGATAGGATTTGAAAGGAACCTGCATGCGAAATAGGTTGCTCAGCTTTTCTGTCTGAATGTACAAGAACTCTTCCGGATGTCGTAGAAAGAGGCTTTGTATACTGTCCGTGTTCGGCTTTTTCAAGAACAAACCAGTATCCCACGATCCTACCCGAACCTTTTTGCTTCAGCCCAGTTTACACCTGACTTTCGCACCATCCAAGCTCAAAGAAAAGCCCGGCAATCCGGAAAACCCCTTCCTACTTGTCGGGTATCATGGGGAACTCAAGGTTAACCTTTTGGGTTTATATAGGGATTATTATAGGGACTTCACTACCCAAAAAAGGTTAAAGGTTGCCTACTCTACTACTAGGCCTTCTTCGAAGATTGAGCCAAGGATTCGGGAATCCCCGGCAGCATCTTCTGCTTCCGCCATGGCCTGGGCTTCTTGGCGAAGACAAGAAAGCATCGTAAGACCAAACCGATCAAGACGATGCCACTTTGAGTCATGGAGGGCGCTAGAAGAAGCAGGTTATAAAGAAGAGGAAGAAGAAGAAGAAGAAGAAGAAGAGTGGCCCGGAAAACAGCCAGCAAGACACATCAGAACATCAGAACAGATGCTGGAAATGCCGTTGCCACTACAACTGCAGGCGTCAGCAATTTGTGGCCAGCTGCCAGCGTCCGAATGGAGATGCGAGAGCCCCCAAGTTAAAATCCCAGAGGTGGGCCCAGCCGCGGCCGCAAATAACCGCTGGGAAAGCGATGCGATGCCGCTTGGGATGGATGGAGGCCTGCAGAGGATTATGGTGATGTTGTCAGCTATGCCAGTTAAGCCGACTCCAGATAAGGCGGACAGCTACCATAGGGGATTCTGTCATTGAACAACAGTAAGGCATTATTTCATTCTCGTACATGGACGTTGTCGCACCCTGCAGCTTTAACTATGCTTTACTATAACAAGTATGACTTATAACAACCCCGCCTTGCTCTGCTTCTAGATCCCCAACCCCTGAGGCCCCCCGGAGTCCCTGGAGGCCTGCCGGGACTGCCTTGCATCGTCACTGCTGCCAGCGCTGCAGGCAGAGTACCGGCCGCCCGTGGGCCGATGCTTGGCAAGCGTGTTGCCGACTTTTCCTGCGACGGGGCACAGGAGATCGCAACTCAGTGCATTTCAGTGCGCATGCCCGTGCCGTGATGCATGTGCATGCAAGAGAGAGGAAGAGAAAGACACAGAGAGATCTGCTAGTTACTAGTTCACGTCTCGAAGTTCACGTTCAGTCATGTGCACATGGAGACTGTGTGAGAGAGCAGGAGAACGAGAACGGCAATTAGTATCATGTCTGGTTGTGAGGTGCGGTGAGTGATGCTCCGTTGTGCAACGGCAGACTGCAAACTAACAGGTGGGCTCTGCCATCCACTGCCTGCTGCGGCTAGAGGGAGCTCAAATCGAAGGTTCCAGGACTCGATGGCAGTTCATTGCGGCAGCTGCCATGGCGAAAGCACTTTTTGTCAAGGTCCATCAATGATCGGTTGGCGTGGCATGCGTTGCACATTTGCGCATCGTCCAAAGCAAGGTCCAAACGAAGGTTTCGAGTCAACTTCAAGAAGAAGCGCAGAGTGAAGAGTCGCCGAATCTCAAGCATCTTGCCTTGACAGCCGTTTCCGAGACCTTAAGGCTCCTTGACGGTGTCTGTGGTTGGATTTCGTCAAGGCACGGCAGTGGCGGTGCCTTTTTGGTTGCTGCTGGCCTTGATCGTGTGGCCGCCACAGTGACCCTGACCCTCGGTCGATATGCATGTTTTGCGTTCTGCCAACTCGTTCACAGTGACTTTACAGCAGATGTGCAAGCACGCTTTGATCTTGTTCTTTAAAGCTGGTCTATGCTGCATCCCTGTGTCACACACACACACATACACGTACACGCACACACACACACACACACACACAGCCACTAAGTAAGAACTCGCCTTGCGGAGCAGTGCAGCTGCCAGCGGATCAGGGGCCCTTATTGATGGCACAAAGGCTTGCCGCACAGAGCTACTAATGCTGTAAGCCATCCAGCCTAGATGCCCTAAGCCCTCCTACTGCTGCTTCCTTGTCTCATAAGAACTGGTATGACAAGATCTGTGAACATCGGACATTGCAAGAAAAGCCGAGGGATCATTCCCGTCACGCCACTGACATCTGCAACACGAAAGAACCAGATCCGAGATGTCTCGCAATCACGACATATGCGCGTCCCCCTCTGCATAAATTGCCATGTTCTTCAAAGATGGATCTGGGAAACCGTTCCCCAAATACTAACAAGCTCGTCTTATGTTCGGACTTGCCTTGACATGGGCTCCTTCCAACTAACAGCTTGCTATCCTATGTTCGCGCCCGTGACTAAGACCCTCAGGGGCCCCTTGCGTGTGATGGCTGGGTATTCGAGGAGACGTCGACTCAGCCAAGTCTACTCCAGAAATGCCAGCAGCTCGGTGATGACCCTAGCCGAAGAATTACGAATCCAAAGCAAACCCAGAACGAAAGCGTTGGATTCCAAGCATCCCAGCATGACAAGACATTTCTCCTTTGTGTGAAGACAACTTCTAGGTTCTACAATACTACGTATCGGAGTACCCCCCCTTTTATCATAGGGGTACCCTTTTTCCTACTGCTCGGTTTCTAAATTCTGCAAGGCCGCAGGCCCTGGGCCGGCTCCGCAGCCAGGCTTGGCACCAGCCTCCGGAGGAAACCGTGCCACAGGAGACGGTTTAGGGTTTAGGGTTGAGCTGTCGAAGGCTCACGCTTCTGAGACGGCCGGTGTTTGCAATGTGCGATGGCCTTGAGGCTGGGGCAGAGCTTGGCTATGTTTCTCTGGATTGACCTGAGGTGGCTTCTGACCCACGAAACCAAAGTGTGACGCTCAACCGCTCCCCATGGGAAGTTTCGATGTTGCCATGTGATGAGCTCGTTGTTGCTGCAGTTGTCGTGTGCAGTACCATTTCGAGACGCGCGAATGACGCAACGACCATGTCGAACACAGCACACGGACATGCTGGAGTCAAACTGAGACGCTCCACAGCACTCACAATGCCACTGAACTTAAAGAGAAATGCTGCTGCTCACTGCTCAGGTCGGGTTACGTACGCAGTGTGACAGCACAGTTCTACTCGTAAGTTGCGACTAGAGGACTGGCTTTTCTTACTGCCCTGTCTTTGCTATCGATTACTTGAAACCTGTTCCTGTGAAGCCACCATGTATCGGTTGATGACAGCGATGTCCACAGCAACAACAACAACGACAATAATAATGGTGGGTTTTAGCGTGACACCTGCTATCATGACCTCTGGATGGTGTGAATCTTGTTGGCCCAGCACGACCGCCCCTGCCACATTGTACTTGCCAGCAGAAATTGCGATAAGATTGCTACCAAGCATGCTATGTCATACAACCGACCATCGCAACACCAGGCAACATTTTGAATCGAGTACTTCCACTTCCCATTCTACTCCCAGAGCTTGTCGAATTGTTGGGCACATACGATCATCACTAAACGTAGCAGTTCGATTACTTCTGCCTACTGCCATTACTGCTGCGGTGTTGGTAGCTCGCTCCTCTTATTGCCGCGGCTAGTATCCAAAATGGTCGCTTCCATATGCTGCCATCGTTGTCAGTACGGCTTTATGCTCCTGGCTCCTAAATCCGGGTGGTGCCTCAGGGCTGCCAGGAGGAGGCCACGCTGCTCAGGCGGCAGCGCCTGACCTGCACCGATGGAGCTTCAAGAAGGCCGGCAGGCTCAGGGCTGTATACGGTTTCGGGGTTCACTCAGGCGAGGCTTGGTGTGTAGCCGAGTGTAGCCGGTGGAAAGTGAAACTTATGTTCGAGTTTGACGGACGACACACTACGAAGTTAATCCGGATCATATGCATGTATGTTGGCATGAGGAGCCTAATGCAGGTGCTAGGGCTCGGGACGGGTTTGGGGGTTCTAACGGATCTTCAACTTCTCCACACGTCGTGCAAGCCCTTGAATTAAACTAGTCAGCGCCTCTTCGCAGTATGTGGGAGTTTCCGAAAATAGGGGACCCTAACATAGTACCGTAAATAATCGGATCCTTATTATAAGGACCCCAAAACAAGGTACCCTTAATTTTGGGAAACTCCCATGTCTTGCTGCAGGAAGCAGTGCCAGAGCCCGACCCAAACTCCAGCACATCGACTGGACATTCCAAACAACAGCCAAATGAGCCGCCTGAAGCCCAAAACCCCACTATAGGGGCCTAGATCATTACCAATAAAACACATACCAATATGTGACACAATACTATCTTGGGGGTTCCTTATTGTACTTATAGTAGAATGGGCCCCAAAATCATATTCAAATTATACAAATTATTCAGGCCCCTACGTGAAAGTTCTACAAACCCCAGCGTCCCAGAGCTAGCTGGGGCTTTTAAAGCCCTTGAAAAATATTAGTAAATAAGACCCTCTTACGCCCAATAAGGGAAAAAATAAAATGTCCCAAAGCCCTACCCTAAACCCTAAACCCTACCTAGCCTGCAGCCAGGAGCTTGCGCTGGCTCGGGGCAAGAGCTCGGAGCCGGTCCGCCAAGGCCTCGCGCACAAAGGGCAAGTTCTTGCGACGCATTGGGTAAACCCTAAACCGGTTTAGGGTTTGGGGATTAGGATTTTTTTTAGGGTTTAGGGTTTAGGGATTAGGATTTTGTTTAGGGTTTAGGGTTTAGGGACTAGGATTTAAGGCTTAGGGGAGCCTGAATGAACACGGGGCTTTGGGATAAAAGCATCTTCCAAAAACCCAGTGACAAGAAGGAGATACAACTACTATATACCTACCCAGAACCCTCCTGTGTCAGGGCTCAGGCTTCGGTTTCTTCTGAAGCCATAGCACATCCCCAGGGACCGCTTGCGACTGACTGTGCAGCTGCCGACATTCAAGTCGCAAACCTGAAGCAGTCCTGATCCGGAAAAGGAGCGGGAATAAGCTAGCACACTGCATCTATCTGCCCGACCGCGCCGCAATCCAAAAGCCTGACAACATAGGAAAACATAGTTCCTGTCTACTTGCTCAGTAGTGTTACTACTGTTCTTACTGGTATGGTGATTATGACTAATAGTAGTTATTGTCGTCGTCGTGGTGGTGTCGTAGCAGTGGCAGTAGCAGTAGTCGTCGTCGTCGTTTTTTGTCACCCACTTGGCACGCCAATGACAGCTCTGCGGGGACTTAAAGGTTCACAAGTCACAAGAGCATCCCAGCCTGCAGGAAAACAACCACAACAGAAGTTAAAGCCACGAAGTACGCCGGGATGCTACTTGATCTGGGAAATGGTAGGAGACTCACATCGGGATGTGTCGAAGAGAGATCCACACAACCCCAAAATTAAAACAAATAACCCCGACAACGCTTCAACGTCCCCGACATGAGCACGAGTTTCGACAACTAGGTTTTGTACACGCGTTGTTTGAAAAGGTATGAGTCAGACTGAGCACAAGTTCCATGCCGGCACGTGTGGTTTTGCGACGTCGTAGTAGTAGTAGTAGTAGTAGTAGTAGTAGTAGTAGTAGTAGTAGTAGTAGTAGTTAGCAGTAGTGGTAATTACAGTAATAGCAACAGCAGGAGTAGTAGTAGTTGTTGTTTGTTGTAGTCCCATTATCCCTCAAACCCAAAACTGCACACTGATGCAGGGTTAGGGCCTGTGGACCTTCTGCTGAAGTTTAGGGTTTAGGGTTTAGGGTTTACCTCAACGTCACCCACGCTTGGTAATCTAGCTTCTGGGAGGTGGAGCCAGTAAGAGACCACGAGTTTTTTTGAGCTTACGCCAAATGGCCTTCATTTAGAGTCCTTACACTAGAGCATTTTATGATGTTTGGGATTCTCGCCTTCAACGCAGCCATCGTGAACTAAGGAAAAAGCGCTTCACAGCTCTCCATTGCAGAAGTGATCCTAACCTCAGGGTGTTGGGGCATCTGACGATATACTTATTATGTGGGGCTGTGTGGGAGCCTTGCTTCTGACTGTTGTCTGCTTCAGACAAATATCCGAACTTGCAGGCGCCCTTTGCCTGGCTCTGCTGCTGCAGATCATCCTCTTCCTCGATCCGGCTATCTACATCGATCCGTCGAGTGCGGAGGTGGTAACTGCGAGGATTTGGGAGAATATGGCTCTATGTATGCATGTGTGTATGTGTGTACGAAAGCATGTATGTGAGTAGCCTTTGGTAGGTAGGCCAGGCATGCAAACTATTTATGGATGTATATTCAGAGAGAGAGAGAGAGAGAGAGAGAGAGAGAGAGAGAGAGAGAGAGAGAGAGAGAGAGAGACAGAGAGAGAGAGAGAGACAGAGAGAAAGAGAGAGAGAGAGAAGCACAAAGACAGGGGCGGCGGTTTAAGCGATTGCAGTTTCGAGACCCGGTATCTGCACGCTTTGGAGGAATTAGTTAGGGCAGTTTCAGAACTCAGACCCTCAAAGGGCAGTTCTGAGAGACCATAGGTGTGTTCCTGGATTCGTCATCACAGAGCGTTCAAGGCTAGATGCCGCTGAACTTGTCTTCGCACAAATGGGGACCTTTGATGCAAATAGAGGCTCCCTTGAGGCCTGGGGTAAACTGTCCGTGCGTCGCCATTTTCCGTTATTTATTCGGAAGTTCGACCCTTTTCATCAGGCAAGTGCTCTCATGCACCCGTGAGCCTGAGGGACTGCGCAAAGGCTCCCTGACGTGCAATGCCACCTATCCTCCGCGTGCCTCCATCAACTCAAGCCCTAGCATTGTCCAGGCTGCTGAAAAAGATCTCCAAAACGGAGCTAATTACCAGATATCATTAAATTACCTACTGGGGCTGAAGGTCTTGGGCGGACAGCACAGGCGCTGCGTCATCTCGCGATCTTCCCCCAGTAAATCCCGTGAGCACTCCTCCACCGCTGCGCCGGCCACATGCCGCGCGACCCCGGCCAATGCAGCGGCAGCCGCTGCAGCATCCTTTCACTTGCTGCTGCAGTACCGCTGGACTTCCCACGCACGGAATGCTCTGAGACTGCCGCAATGGCATTAGACTTACCAAGCCGCGTGCGCGTGGCCATGCAGGCATGTGCCACCACGTGTACGCATCTATGTCTCCATATGTGTTCGCGTGTATGTATGTATGTATATATGTATGTATATGCATCTTATGTATATTCTGTAAATGTATATGTGGATGCATGTGTACGTCTATGTGTATGTGCATGTGTGTATGTATGCGCATGTGTATGCGTATATGTATATGTATATGTATATGTATGTGTAGATGCATGTGTATGTGTAAACGTATGTAAACGTATATGCTTGTGTACATGTATTGTACGTGTACGTGCACGTGTAGGTGTGTATGTGTGTGTGTGTGGGTGACTGCGTGTATGTGTATGTGTGTGTGTATGTGTATGCGTGTGCAAGCGTGCAAGTGTGCGGGGGTGTAAGTGTGTTGGTGTGTATTTGGGTATGTGTGTATGTCTACATGTCCATACTATGTATGCATGCATCTTTGTATGTACGCATGTACGTATGTACGTATATAAGTACATGTAGTGTATATGTATGCATGTATGTCTGCAGGCATGTATACGCATGCATGTGAGTATGTACGTTTTCGCATAGCCTGCTGGTCTGCACGCGCGTTTGACTGGTAGAAGCACGAGGTCTGCCAGTTTCTCTTGCGTGGGCCTATTATTTTCGAGGTTCCACTGTATTTCTGCCGGAGAAACGTGTTTCAGATTGAACCTTCTCGAAGGATACGTGTGTTCCTGCGCGGGCTGGCATCTCCGATCATACTTCTGAGCCTACTTCAGGAATCTCTCACATCTCAGCCGCGCGAGAGCGCAAGGACCTAAAGTTCCGACAGACCATGTGGGTAGTTCTCCAAAATGACAGCTCTGTTTTAGATCCCCAAATAGTAGGAAGGACCCTAAATAGGACCCTACTTTGGAGAACCACCCACATCCCACAACTCCCGACTGCCCTGAGCTCGGAATCCGTGAAAGCCAAAGGGTCGGGCCGATACCTCGACAACTACCTGGACCCTAGGAAACCTGCGGTTGCTTACGATGATTTCCTGACATCATAAGTCCTCTAACAGGATGAGTCCTTAAACAGCTAGGTTAATGTAGGAACCTGATTAAGAAACCTTGGGCCTTTATTAGAGTTCCTTATATGAATTCCATGAATCCGAATCCTACGATTTGGGGGTTCTAGGACCAGGGTTTCTTGATCAGGTTCCTAGATTTTGGGGGGGTTAGGGTTAAGCTCCAGGGCTTCTTGCATGCTCAGAACCTGAACTCGGGATGCCCGTGAATGGACTAAAGAAATAAACTCGGGATTTTTTGTTCGACAAGTCTGCCGGAACCCTCCCCCCCCCGTCCCGATTTCTTGGGCTTTGGGTGTAGGCTTTTTGTTGTACACCTTTCCCAGAGCCATCTAGAGTGCTTAAATGCGTCCGAGGCACCTCGCGGTTCCCACGGCCAACTGATGCAGCCGCTCCCATTCAGCACTGAACTTCCGAAACGGGCTGCCAAGATCAGTCGGCTTTTCTTAAGGTTCTGCAGGGGAAGTCTCATGAGTTTTCAGGGTTTGGAGCATCATTTTCCCCTCCCGCATGGCTGGGAGATCATGTTTCGAAAGGCTTGGCTCGACATCTCGCGGTTACCTTGCATGCCTACCGCATACATGGCATACAATAATCAATCGTATCCGGTCTTCTTGCAAAATCCCGAGCCCCAGGACTTTTTACCCTTTTTACATCCAGGCCTCTATAAACTGTTGACGGATGACCCCTCAAGCCCGCAACATGAACCGCCCTAGCCGTTTGCCAGCAGCCACAGGCTTGCCGCTGTGAGCCAAATTCCGTCGGAGACTTTGGTACTGAGCACCAATATGACACGGGATCAAAACTAGGGCTATCTTGGGGTCCCTCCCAAAGATCATTTTTTACGGGGGCGTGCACGAGAAGGTGTAGGGGTTTCGCACGGCGACTCTTCAAGTCATTTCTGCCTTGTATTTAGGGGTAGTAGTCTACTCAGGGCGTTTTTGCGAATATAAGACAGGTTGACCCTAAACCCTGAACCCTGTAAGGTTTCCGTTTTCTCATGCCTTGTCCCGGAGAAGATACGACCAGGAGACCTTGCTACATGCGAACCTCGCCCCAGACAGAAGCAAAGCCTTAGGGGCTGAGTACCCAAGCTCAAAAAAGGCTAACCTTTGGAATCATAGTAGGATTATAGTAGGATTATAGTAGGGTTATAGTAGGAGTATATAAGCCCCAAACGGCTAAAGCTTACCTACTCAGCCCCTAAGAAGCCAAGAAACCCGAGAGCTCAAACACGCAACGCAGAGTCCCCGCCACTCCGCCACCCTGTTGGGCACGACTGTCTCGTTCGCTTTACATGTGCGCTTTGGGGTTTACGCTCTCGCAGCTCGGACACAGCCAGAGTTCTCGGGGGTTTAAGGGTATAGGGTAAATTACTAAATTACATGTTTCAGGGCGATTTCGGATGTGCATGGATATTGTGCGTGTGTGTGTGTGTGTGTGCATGTGTGTCTGTGTATGTGCTTGCTTCTACAGCTGCAAGGTTTGAAAACAGCAAGGGGGGTCGTTTGACAACACCACCTTCTAACAGTGATTGCACCTTCTAACAGTAATAGGGAATGGGGGAATGGATCCCTGTAGTGGTCCCTTTATAATTCCCAAAATCCCATTCCCTACTAAGAACCAGACAGAAGAAGCCCTAAACCCTCTTATAGACCTGTTTATAGTACCCTTATAGATCCCTTATAGGAGCCCTTATAGAGTCTAATCCCCTAAAATAGTCTGCCTCGGGCTCCCGAGTCCCCATTTTGAGCCCCGATGAGCCATGACCAAATGTGGGAGTTTCCGAAAATCAGGAACCCAATGCAGTACCCTAAGTAACAGGATCCTTATTATAAGGACCCCAAAATCATGCACCCCTAATTTTCGGAAACTCCCATATACTATAGGGGCCTTACTAATTACCTATACTGTGTTGGGGGCTCCTTGTTATGATAATAGTATAATATACCGCCATAAAGGCGGAAAAAATATAGGGACCTTAACAATTGTGAATATGGTTTTGGGGGTTCCTTACTGTAGTTATAGTATAATATGTCCCTAAACCCTATTCTAATTATTAAGGCCCCTACAGTAGCTATTGGGAACCCACTTCGTTCGCCCAGTGGCTGTACGTGCCCGGATCGCAGCGATCGCAAGTTGGATAGCCCATCCTTGCAATCATCCCGGCTTCTCAAGGGTGTCCACATGCATGCTAGTTGGGAGTTTCCGAAAATAGGGGACCCTAATATAGTACCCTAAAATAGCAGGATCCATAAGGACCCCAAAATAAGGTGTCCCCTAATTTGGAAACTCCCACATCTTGAGTCCGGAGGCTTTTGCATTTATCCCAAGCCACGAAAATTTCAATCCAAGGTGTTAGTCGATAATGTACCCCCTATTTTCGGAAACTCCCAGTTTGTCTTGAGGAGCTATCTACATCTTACGAGTCCTACGGTTCTGAAGCCACCACCTTCCCCTTAGCTCGGAGAGATGTGTTTAAATTGTGCCCCTAAACATGGGGCTTTCCACTGCGTCAACTTGCTGGACCCTCGGCAGGCTGAAGGAGTCACACGTAGAACTCGAACCTATCATTCCAGTGATACTGCTCATTCCCGCAATCTTCCTTGCACTACTTCTGCACCGTTAGCAAATTACATAAAGAATCCGTCAAAACAGGAGAAGGCTACAGCAGAAGTAGTTAGTCGTGTTCAACCTCGCTCACTTGGGGCCGCTGTGCAGCTTCAACTTGCCTCATCATGCAGCGCCCTAGACTTTAGGTCCTTTTGCATCGGGCCTTTACCACCGCCCGGTAATCCCCACACTCGCTCTAAAGTCTAAACCTCGAACACGACATAAGAACCTTGGCTCGCGTTCTCGACTTCCGGGGTTTGTAGCCGGCGCGCTCGAGCCCTAATACTTGGCAAAATTCCTCTCATCCTAAACTTCCAGGGAAAGCTGCATGATCCTAGGTTCCGGGATCCACGCAAGAGGTTGGCACCCCAAGGCCCCAGCTCACCAGCATATCTCCCAGGTTTGCATCGGCTGCATTGGGTGCTCCCTGACCTTGTCAGGCTCAGACTACGACAAGACTGTCAACAGCCTCATCTACTCTCTCGTGTGCGGGTCCTGAGCAGCAAAGCCGTGCGAACACTGCGTCGTCCATGATATCGCAGCCGAGCTCTCGACTTGTTGGTCCAGTGGCCCACGGCGCATTCCTCACATTGCCAACTACCTGCGCAAGCTCACACAGGAGGTAAGCAAACCTTGTCAAGATGATCATTGGTCGGCCAAAGCAAGGAAAGCTTGTTCCAAAGGATGGTCCAGTCTAGCAGCCTTGCGACAGCATCGTACTATCAGGTCTGGTACCTGACGGGGAAAGTCACCCCGTCACCAGGTGGGAACCATGCCGCTCCTTCACATTTAGATGGGGTGGTCGACCGATCCGGCTGAAATGCAGAAATCGCAACAGCAACGACCTAATAAGCCACAACAAACGTGGCTGTAAGCTGGTACAGTAGTAGTGGCAGCATTGTCCGTACCCCAGGTGTTTGCCAATGTGGTCATTGAAGGTCACAAGCTGATGAAAAAGGAAGCATCCCTCTCAGCCGTAGCCCCTGGGCCTTGAAGATCGGAATAGGTGCCGGGCTCGCATGTCTTGCAGAAGGGGCTCGACATCAGGTCAGAATAGTTTCCTGGCAGCCCCGCAATGCTGCAGAGTCGGGCGCATGTGTCTAGAGGTCTGATGATCTCCCTAGCATGTTCTGCAACTCCTCTCTCATAAATCTGACAATCGCCCTCGCATGGCCTCTACTGCCATCCCGTCACAGATCATGTCTGTCTTTGCCCACAGCGATGTACCACTATGACTCAAGAGCCAGCTGCAAAATCTTATCATCTACCGTCAGTGGTCGACTGTACATCACTACGTACTACTGGGCTCCTTTTCTCTTTAGGAATAAGGCCAGAGAAACTTCACCAAAACAGGCTCGAGTTGGAATTCCTGACAAGTGCACTACCACCACCACCACCACCACCACCACCACTACTACAACCACTACCACTCCCACTGCCACTACCACTACCACTACCTCTACCACTACCACCACGACTACTACTACTACTACTACTACTACTACTACTACTACTACTACTACTACTACTACTACTACTACTACTACTACTACATTAGGCCTTATTTGAGGCCATGTTTTTCCTGCTTTTAGGACTTCCACGACTTTGTTTGAGGGCCTGGATGTGTTGGTATACGTCTTTATCTCTTTAAACAAGGACCATGCAGACCCCAGCGCCTTAACGACCCAAAATACAGTCACAACACCTGTCTTATATCATCATACTCATCAACATCATCATACTCATCAACTCATCATTGACCTGGGGTGGGGGGGTGGAGAGGGGGGGACACGACATCATCGGGGCATCATCATCACCACTCTTGATGCACCAGGAACCTAGCTTCGTCACCATCGCCACAGACCGCATCAATATCATCGGAAGCACGGGCCCGATTATGCAACCACTCAAACAGGAAGCTTGGGAACATGTGGACTCCGGACTCGGTTCGCGCGATTTAACTCAGACTACATCTGAAACCATAAACCCGAAATCCTATACCCTAAACCCTTTCTGCCAGCCTGCTGGGCAAGGCAAACAAGTGGTTGCTGCGTGTTCAGATGCATAGTGGCCGAAGTCACACTCGATGCAGCCTGACATTCCTTGGATAGAAGCAGAACCGGTACTGTTAAACCCAGTCCGCTGATTGCAAGGCCAAGTAGCAAGACTGATTGATATGTGAGGTAGTGCTGCAAGTCGCAGTTGCAGTACTAGTAGTAGTAGTAGTAGTAGTAGTAGTAGTAGTAGTAGTAGTAGTAGCAGTAGCAGTAGTAGTAGCAGTAGCAGTAGCAGTAGCAGCAGTAGTAGTAGTAGTAGGTCGTCGTCGTGGTAGTAGTACTAGTGGTAGCAATAGCAGTAGCAGCAGCAGCAGCAGCAGCAGCTGCAGCAGCAGCAGGAGGAGGAGGAGTAGTAGTAGTAGTAGTAGTAGTTTTTGGCTCCCACTTGTGGGTTTCGCGCGGATCCCGCTCTGCAGGTGGAGTCTGGCTCCTCGCGTGGAAGCCAAAAACTACTACTACTACTACTACTACTACTACTACTGCTACTACTACTACGACGACTACTACTACTCCTACTACTACTAGGTGCGTAGCGGCGCAGTGGAAGACTAGTAGAAGCGCTAGTAGTCGCGGATGTCGTCGCCAGACATAAACTACCGCACAACACAACAGCTGGAAAAAACCGATGGCGATTATGACACGGCAACATGCAGCCATTACAAGAGAAACATCATTGCATGTCACAGGGAACTGAACATATGGGGTTGTGCGAACATATATTATATATAT